GAAGGGAGAGGATGGTGTGGCACCGAGTTCTCTGAATGGACCACTGACTTTGGTGTCCAACATGAAGTTGCCCCAGGTGAAGCTCACACACGTTTGTCTGCAGTTGAGCGCCGACACTCTGTCTTGCGCAAGGCGGCCGAAATCTTCATGACTGACCGCAAATTGGACAACACCTCTGGCAGGAGTCCGAATGGCTCTGACCTATGTGTTGCCCCAGATCAACTCTTCGACAACGGTGGCTGGCTTCAGCCCTATGCAATGGGTCCTGGGCAAGCAGGTGACACTACCTGGTGAACTTCGTGGTGAACGACTTTCACCCGGCCAACTTGATGGCTACAACTTGGAGAATGTCCTCAAGAACCGCACTGCCGCCAAGACAGCTCTGGCCCAGGCTGAGGAAGACTCCAAGCTCCGAAGAGCACTTCTCCGGCAGTACCAAGGCACCAACTTCCCAATCGAAGTTGGACAGCTCTGCCACTTTTGGCGTGATCAGAGGGAGGACAAGCTCACCAAGATCAGATGGCACGGTCCTGCACGTGTGGTGATGCGAGAAGATGATGATCAAGGAGCACCCCACACTTACTGGCTGGCTTGGAGACACAACTGCTGCGATGTGCACCACATCATGTGCGTGCTGACCTGACGTCCATGGCCAACCAGATCGAGGACGCTAAGGAGGCCAAGAAAGCCGTTGCTGGACTTCGCTCGCGTGGTGTGACGCGCTTCTTGGACTTGGAGCGCATCAACAAGCACAACTTGGATGACTTGGATGATGATGAGATGAGCGATGGAGCCGGGGACGATGATGATGATCTCCAACCTCCACGCCAACGGCGACGTCTTGAAGGCCCTGCTCTACCTGTTCAAGGCCTTCCTGCGCTACCTGGCCTTGGCGACCCTGATGGTGGCCCACGAACCGGGCACTCCCGTGGATGAGAATGCCCCCACTGAGGTGGTCCCCAGTGATGATGATGCGATCCATTGTGGATGAAGATGCAGCTGCACACCCTCCAGTGCCAGAGCTATCTGATGAGCTTGAACCTGGGCAAGAACCTTCTGTGCCACCCACACCAGCTTTGGCTGCTGCGTCGAGACTGGCTCTGACTTTAGACCCTGAAACGGCCGCTCTCTACGAGCCTGCCCCTGATGAGACCTTCAACCAGATGCGTCGACGATTTGACGCTCAGGAAAGCTCTCTCTTTGGTCCAATGAGGCGCAGACACAGACTTCCAGCGCCCTATGAAGAGCCACACCGAGCTCCTCGGAGTTCCCAACCACCACAACCTGCTGAACCTTCTCCACCTCAACAGCCTTCTGAAGAACAAGCTCTCTTCAACCATGCCTTCACGGTCACCGACCTTGATGCCACTGAGCTTCCTCAGGGGTGGCATGTTGATGAGCAAGGCTACATCCAGCTCGACCTCTCCAAGATGGAAGACTACTGGGAGGTGAAGTCAGGCTGCCTGATCAGGCATCACCTTCGACCTCGACGACTACTACATGAGTTTGCTCCTGGTCCTTATTGCCCTGTCACAGCTGACATGCTGGATCCAATCCGGGTGACGATGATGAGATTGCCCAACGGCACCACCAACGTGATGACCAACAACATCAACACCCGAGAAAAGCCTATGCCCACAACATGGACTGGCATCACAGTCTACCAACTGACCGGTAAGGTTCGCAAAGAACATGCTATGATGGCTACCGCCATGCCTGCGAAAAAGGTGGCCAGACAGCACAAGCACATGACTGCCAAGAAGATCGGCAAGAAACCAGCCGAACTTTCAGAGCGCAACATATCGCTTTGGGAAAAGGAGCAGTTCATGGCTGCGAAGGCGAAAGGGCTGAAGAGCTTCTTCGAGCACGGCGTGTGGGAGTTCTCAACTGAGAAGGAGGCCGACCCGACACGAACACTGTCGTCAAGGATGCTCCTGAAATGGAGTCGCAATCCTGACGGGTCACCTCGTGCCAAAGCCATGCTGACCGAGATGCCTTAGAAGGCCGGGTCGAGACTTCAGCACCCACTACGCCGAGGCTCAGCAGATCAATGTTCTTGAGTTTGTCAAGCTGTTTGAAATGGTCTGGATGGACAGCCGATGTGTCCACTGCCTTCTTGCAGGGTGTCCCACAACAGCGACGCCTTTCTGGGTTTCAGAGTACACCCTCTTGACCCGTGCACCTTCCTGCTCTACGAGCAAGACTTTCCTGAAGGTCGTGAACAACCTGCACCACCTGGTGAACTACTTGGACCTCACGGACTTTGTGCTATGGTTTGCATCCATGTGGATGACATGCTGGGTGGTGGCTCTTCGAGTTCAAGGGTGCATCAGGCCAAAGAGGCTGAGCTCAAACAAGCCTTCAACTTCAGAGAATGGCAGACTGATGCCAAGCTGGAATACTGTGGAGCTTCTTTGGAAAAGACTCCAACTGGTGGCTGGGCTCTTCACCACGACCCCTTCCTGAAGAAGGTCAAGCCAATCCCTGTGGCACGCGGACGCGGTCCTGATGACGTGATGACTCCCAGTGAGACATCTCAACTACGAGCTCTACTTGGCTCGCTGCAATGGCCAGCAGTTCAAAGCCAACCGCACCTGCAGTGCTCTACTTCTTTGCTTGCCAGCAACATCAGTGCTGGACTGGTTCGAAGCCTTCAAGAGGCCAACAAGCTGCTGAAGTTCGCCAAGGACAACAGCGATGTGAAACTTTGCTGCGAGCCTCTGTGGACTCACCGCGCCCGGTTTGCCAGTTCGATGCGTTCGATGCTGCCTTCGGCATACGCCGAGACTACTCCTCACAAGGAGGCTGGATCACGATGCTGATCAACCAGAAGGCCTTTGATGGACAAGAGTGTCCATATCATGTCATCGACTGGAAAAGCTCGAAGCTGCCTCGGGTGACACGATCTTCCCTTGGCGCCGAAGCCCAAGCCGCTGGTCAAGCAGAAGACAGCGTGGACTTCATATGTCGCTTCTGGGAGTGCCTCAAAGACCCCAACGAAACCCTGGCCGAGATTCTTGAGAGACCTTCGTCTCTTGCACCGGTTTTGGTGACTGATGCCAAAGCCCTGTATGACAGCTTCCACAGAGATGGCTTTGGGACTGGTCTGACTGACCGTCGAACCGCTTTGGAAGTCAAGGTGATCAAAGAAGGATTACAATCCTTGGGTGGCTCTCTACGGTGGCAAGGATCTTCAAACACGCCTGCAGAGCCAGAATGAATTCAGCAAGCCAAAAGAAGGTGCTGATGAACATCAGCCTGACCAAGATGACGAAGTTTCTGGCCATGCTACTCACTACATGGAGTCCTATGTCTACATGGCTGACCCTGTGGACTATGTCATGGCCGATGAGGAGACCAACCTCTATGAGCACACCGAGCTCTCCATCATTCAAGAGCCTGAGGTCATTGCCGACCTGACGAATGTCAACACGGCGACCGGGGACTTTGCCACCAGCGCAAGTCGCTCTATGTCTTGGTGGATGAGCTGGCTGACGGCATTTTGCTGTCTGGTCTCTGGGAAGGCGACAGAAGCGCTTCCCTCAAGTTTTGATGATTTTTCTGTGGCACAATGCCCACTGCAGATCTATGAGCCGAAGACCGAAGGTCTTGGATCTGGTTCCTACGTCCTTGACCTCCTCTACGACTTCTCCTATGACATCTTCCTCCTGATCCTCTTCCTCACCATTGTCTTCATTGCCTATAAGGCTGCACTGGTTTTTGGATGGCATCAGGGCTACCGCTTCGTTTTGCGGCGGCGAGCAGTCAGAGCCGAACGCTTTGAGCGGTTGCTGGAGGAGAAGACGGAAGAGCCCAATATGAAGACTGGAGCTCTCGATGAGATGGCAGGGGAACTCAACAGAAAGCTGACTGAGATTGCAAACCTCAATCAGCATATCCAAGATCTACAAGGTCATCTCGCCAATGCCCAACCAGAGCTTCTGCACGCCCTACAACAGGAGCGAGCCAAAACAGCCAGACTGCAACGGAACCTACTGGCTTTGGAGCAGAGCTACTTCCAGAAGGACGAACAACTGGTCACGTTTGAGCGACACATCAGGTCTCTCGAACACTCAATTTCTGAGTATGAGAGGATTCGCACCAGTGGCATGCGTGTGATGAACCGGGCCCACAACGAGCTCGAGCACCACTTCAATAGATACCACCGCAATGGTGAGATCTTTGTGGCGAACCGAGGGGTGGTGCGGCACACCGATGGAGGATGTTACCACCTCCACAACTCCTTTGTTCGAGAGCTGTGGCCTTGCCAATCTTGTGCCCAGGATGTGATGACGCCCCACATCCGGAACGAGAACGGAGTGTCATTGCACAACGCCATGACTGGATGGCTGGTGTCTGCTCAATTCTTTGACACCTCGAATGCGGACTACCCGATGTTCCCTGTAGTTCCTGGAGCAGCTCCTACTGGCACCGCACCTTCGACTGCAGATGGCGCCGCATCTTCTACTGCAGCTAGCTGATCTGGCCCTGTGCAGGCCTCTTGCGCTAAGCCCTGGGCAGGCTACTCGCTGACTTCAGCGGCTGGGTCTTCAACACTGGCGACGATGGCCAAAACGGCCTTAGACTTTTCTTTTTCACAGTTTCACCAAGATACCCCCATGTCAAGTGCACTCCATGCACCATGGGTCATTCCATTCATACCACGGTCTTGCCGTGGCTATTTCCTCTTAAGGGAGGGATCTAAGCGCTGGATGGCGCTACGGTGACGCAACCTCCTCGTGAAAGGTTGCTGCAGCTGACGCTGCTTGGTGGGACCGGACTTCGTGGGCTGGCTACCCCCCGATCTTCGCAATTTATATATATATGTGTGTGTATATGAACGCTATGAATCGTGAAAGCTCTACAGTATGTGTTTGAAGATTTGAATCGCTTTGAATCCTTTGATTCCTTTTGAGTACCCCAAAGGGCCCTGGACAATTAAGACAGAATAACATATAAGAATAGCTGTTTGAATAACTCAAAGTTTCAAGCTGGTGGGCCTGAGGGTCCTCTGGCATCAGGAAGATCTGCGAAGCCGAAGGCCTACAGGGCCTGCTGGCCTCCGGTCCTCACATCCATGAGAAACATAACATGACGTAAACACATGCAAAATGTGGCATATTATGGCACACATCACATCACATCACATTACATCACATCAGGTGGATGTACAAATGTTGACAGTGGAACCCACTGCACTTCACGCAACCATTCAAGCCTGGCTCGCTTGGCTTTTGAAGATCCTGAGCAAAAAAATGTTGCTGCCACGAGCGGTGTGCAGGATAAGTTTGCATCCTCTCAACATGTCTCTTTTTTGGGAACATATTTGAACATGATCTGTCAAATGAATTCAAATTAGTCTTAATGAGCAGCTTCAGGATGTCTCGACGCGCAGATTCAGGTTTGTCTCCACATGTCTCCACACACTGTGGCATGATGAATGATGTTGCATAGCTTCATCCTGTTCAGCTAAGTGGCCATCAACGAAGTCAGGAGTTCGGGCAAAGGAATGTGCAAATTGAGACTCAACGTCAAGGACAGACATGGATCTCGTTGTGGACCTGGCGAAGCTCAACACATTGGAAGCCGCGGGCGCCCCCGACGCCCTCGCCTGCCAGGCCCAGACCCGCGTCGGAACACGACACCTGGGCGGCAAAATGATGCCAGGCCAGGTACAACATGGTACAACTGCTGAAAGGTCCTGGTGCAACATGATCCTGTTTCATGACCACGAACCAAAGCCATTGTTCTGATATGTTTTTAACATACCCATCAGATCCTATCACTCTGAATGAAGCCAGGATGCGCGAACCGGCAGTGAAAACGCTGCCATTGCGGGCAACCTTTAAAAAAAAAAAACTTTCGGCCTGTGGTTCCAAGAGTATCCAAGAGTTTCATCCAGTTTGTAACTCCTCACCAGTACCACTGTACCACGTTTCTCTGCTCATAGGATTCATAGGATCTCATGTTCTCCATTTGTTCCATGTCATCACATGTGCATAGAATATGTTTTTCATTGAATTTATAAACTATAGAGCCCTGCTATGTTCTACCATGCATGCAAATGATGAGTGATGATGTTCTTCTATACATATAGGTCACCATCTCCATAGTTCGTTTCTTCAGAACGACCATGGGGAGACTACCTTGAGGCTTGAGCCGATTCTGGCGAATTCATATCAACCCCCCCAAAATCATATTTTTTCACCACACATTTATACACATTTACATTGGACCATAGAACAAAGCTGTTTAATATGGGGGATGGGATGAGATTCATCTGCTGTTCTTTTCACTGGCAGTGAAAAACCTGTGTGCACGACGATGCTCTTGGCACGATTTGCCAGTTTCAACGCATTGGCCTGGCGCAAAGCTCTTGGTGCTAGCTGATTTATCTCATGTTGTAACATTACATACAAAATCACACATATGCGCGCACGCACGCACGTGTGTATAAATATATATATGTATGTATGTATAAATATAGTATTATATAATTACAATATAATATTATATATATATATATTCACGTTCATTTCTATGTAGTAGTTATTTTGATATTAATTAGTATATATTAGTATGGTTGGTCGGTATTGGTTGATGTTAGCCGTGACATGCACCAATCTGGCATGCCGGAAGGGCGGTCTCTCGGATGGTCGAATGAGCTGGAGAGCAATTCACGTACATCAATGCCTGCACGAGAAACCCGAAAAACATCGAAAACCCAGCTGTGCGGACTGACATGAATCGATTAAACTCAGACTGTCCTGATTTGGAAAGCCCACAGGTCTGCGGTAAAAACAAACCATGCCCAGGGCCGAATATCTGATCTGAACCTGTCATAATCTGTCCATTTGAGCCATTTGTAGGTCTAGTAGGTGATCTAGGTGCCCTTTCAGCTCGGATTCAGCTCAGGGCCTTCGCACCCCCACCAATGGCATCTTGCAGCAGCTGCGTAAGCTTATGATTCCTCCGGACCGTGCTGCGCACCAGTGCGCACTTAGCAGTGATGATCCAGTGACGTTGTTTGCTGCATCTTTCAAGCAAAAGAACCGGTTTCTATTCCATGAGCAATCGTGACATGGCCAAACACAGGCAGGCAAGCACGGGTCTCTTTTCCTGTCTCTGAACATCTCACAACGATTGGAAACGATTGGAAACGATTGGAACACCGAGCCAGGTTGGCAACTTCTCTTTGAGAGGTGCATTTGAGCCTCAATGATCCATGATATTCCATGATTCTAGTATATCCTAGCATGCAGACCGGTAGTCCGTCTGCAAAAAGGGGGCAGCAAGTAGCGGTGGAAGTTTCGTAAACATCTCCTTGACATGATCGGTGGCCATGTGCTCTTTGACTGCCTCTGGTGATGCATAACGCTGCCAGAGGTTGTAGGTGTTGGGCTTCTTCGCATCTTTAAGGAGGTCATATTGAATCACTCCGGCTTCAGCACGTGACTTCTCGAGGTTGTCCTCCAAACGTATGTTTGCAGCGATACTTGGCAATAATGCGCAGGCCTGCTTAGCCTATTTGCGCATATATAGGTTAGCATCGATCAACCAGGATCAATTTGGATCAACCTGTCCTTGAAGATCTCCAGAAATGCCGCATCTTGTCCTTCCTTCACAGTCAACTCCAGGGTGAACCATGGCTCAAATGACTCGGCCATTCGAAGATCCAAGTGTAGCAGCTCAAAAGCTCGGCCCAAATCGATACGAGAAACTGAAGCCTATGGCTGAGAAAGTGAAGACACATGGCCAAAACTCCGAGAAAACAATAGAAAACAACCCGCAACCCGCAACCCGCAACCCACAACACTCTCTCTCTCTCTCTCTCGCTCACTCTCACTCTCACTCTCACTCTCACTCTCACTCTCGCTCTCACTCTCACTCTCTCTCTCTCTCTCACTCTCGCTCTCACTCTCACTCTCACTCTCACTCTCTCTCTCTCTCTCACTCTCTCACTCTCTCACTCTCTCACTCTCTCACTCTCTCACTCTCTCACTCTCTCACTCTCTCACTCTCTCACCCTCTCACTCTCTCACTCTCTCACTCTCTCACTCTCTCACTCTCTCACTCTCTCACTCTCTCACTCTCTCACTCTCTCACTCTCTCACTCTCTCACTCTCTCACTCACTCTCTCACTCTCTCTCTCACTCTCTCTCTCACTCTCACTCTCACTCTCACTCTCACTCTCACTCTCACTCTCACTCTCACTCTCACTCTCACTCTCACTCTCACTCTCACTCTCTCACTCACTCTCACACTCACTCTCACTCACTCTCACTCACTCTCACTCACTCTCACTCACTCTCACTCACTCTCACTCACTCTCACTCACTCTCACTCTCTCTCACTCTCACTCTCTCATCACTCTCTCTCACTCTCACTCTCACTCTCACTCTCACTCTCAACCTCAACCTCACCCTCTTCTCTCACTCCTCACTCGTCACTCTCACTCTCACTCTCACTCTCACTCCCTCTCCACTCTCACTCTCACTCTCTCTCACTCTCACTCCCTCCACTCTCACTCTCCTCTCCTCACTCTCACTCTCTCTCTCTCACTCTCTCTCTCTCACTCTCACTCTCACTCTCACTCTCACTCTCACTCTCACTCTCACTCTCACTCTCTCTCTCTCTCCTCTCTCTCTCACTCTCACTCTCACTCTCACTCTCACTCTCACTCTCAGTCTCAGTCTCACTCTCACTCTCACTCTCACTCTCACTCTCACTCTCTCGCTCTCTCTCTCAGTCTCAGTCTCAGTCTCAGTCTCAGTCTCAGTCTCAGTCTCAGTCTCACTCTCACTCTCACTCTCACTCTCTCTCTCTCTCTCTGTCTCTCTGTCTCTCTGTCTCTCTGTCTCTCTGCCTGTCTCCCTGTCTTTGTGGATTTGAGAGTTCAAACCCTGCCCTGGAAGTTTTGGAGTCTGTAGCTACGTTTTGGAATAAATTCAATTGTCACAAGCACAAACGGGCAGGCCCCTGGTGCAATGTAGTGTGTATAATGTAGTCATTTTCATTTATAATTGGTTGTAGATAGTGACATGTATAGACTGTAGTCTTGTGCTGCCTGTCAAACGGGGGATGATGTCTGGCCTGTACGGGACGTACTTCTTCTTTTTTGCAACGGCCTGCATCCAGGAAAAACATGCGCGTCATGGAGCCATGCATGATGTGCCATGATGTGCCATCGCAAATCCATATGTTTGCGATGGCAAGCTTGGTGGAGCCACTTGACGTCAATTCTCATCCCACAAATAGCTTCTAAGAAGGTCAATAAACAAACAGGAAATCCAACAAGCCCAACATCCGAAAATGCATAGGACATAGGCCTCAATGACATCCCCCAGGGCAGACAAACTTTTGTTGATCTCAATAGCTTCAAGTCTCCGATCTTCCTTCTCAACCTGGCAGTTTCCGAGCAGACCTATTGGAGATAGGACCCGGGATGGTTGAGTAAAGATGATAAACATTTTTAAACCATGTTCAAATATGTTCAAAGTGGCAGTATCATTATCTGGCAGTATTATGCAGTATTCAGCTTCAGTAGCTGGTAACTGCTGGCATGGTCACATGTAGTCACAGTTTTTAGGTAAAATTTACAGGCTGTCGGATGAAAAGGTCTGGTGGCCGCCTCCACCCAACAATCCCAACACGCCAACCAACATCTGCGTCGTCTCCATCGTCTCCGGTGTCAAGTGACCTCTGTCTTCTTCAGCCTTTCGCAGCCGCCAAGATCGCAGAAGTGCCTCAAAGCTGCCAGAGCTTGGAAAGCCGGAAACAATGCGACAGGCATACCGCATGAGACCGAACAGGACCAAGCAAGATCCAGCAGGTGCATATGCTGTATAAGTAGCATACCGTAAGTGGATGTAAGTGGAATAAGTATGGATAGGTGATGATACTGGTAGGTGGCATAATGTGGCATATGGTGGCATAAGTGCATCTCTGTATATCTCTGTGTGATCAGTGGCATTCGTGGCTTCAACGATCCTATCTGGTGCCAGGCTGCAATTTGCTGACGACTTGACCTTCACCTTCCTCCACCTCTCGTGTCACATAGACCTCAAGGTGGAGAGCCCAAAACGTTGAGTCACGTGACACACCGGTAGGGTTGAAGCTATTGGGTAAAGCAAGAATTGGATGGTCAATGTTGAAAACGTACCAAAATTCGAAATACATTATTTAATATATATATATTTATTTATTTATTTATTTATATTATCATCTCATCTATGTATATACATATACATGGAATTACATGGACATGTCGGGTCTTGAAGTTTTGACATGTTTTGACCACTTCACAAGCCCAAAAAAAACTCGGGCCCTCCCACCGTGAAGAGCACATGGCTCCTGGAGCTCTCCGCATTCATGGCATGTGCTGCGACAGCACGCTGTTCAAGTCCTCTATGGAACATGGCCTGGGATGCCGCTGGGTGACGGGGCTGGGTACAGCTGGGCAAAGAAGCCACCTGGAGCTCGGTCTCATCCATGGCGGGCTCTTTTGCCAGGCCTTCCACCTTCAAAAAAAAATCCGACATCATATTATGATAATATGAAATCATTCCCATGTCCGATAAAATCATTATAAACTCGATAAATAAATATATATATATAAATAAATATCATGGCCAAGACAACAAAACAACAGGGGCTCCACCTGAACACTGCCGGACTTGTCCAATCTCAAACTCAATGTGGGGTTCTGACGACCTGAGTTCAGGCAGAGAGATCACAACAAGATCCCAATCCGTTTCATCAGAAATCCCGCTGAAAATCATGCGAAGCTAAAACGAGCAGCTAAGAACTTCACCCTGCCAATCGATGGGACGCAACAAATCAACCAAATAGTTGTTGTAGAGCTCCATCCTGTGCAACTGGCACTGGAAAACATCTGCCTTTCATTGCCTTTGTGTGTCTTTGGATGAGGGCATCAGGAAGCGTTGACTATAACATTCTCTGATGTTCTCTGATGTTCTCTGGGAATCCCTGCATGGATCCCGAGATGGTCACATTGTCCTCAGGATGACTGCCATGCCCAATGGATTCCAATGGATTCCAATGGATTCCCACTGGATCCCAATGGCAGTTGTGATGCAAATCGCACCAGGAGCCGGACACCACCCAGTCTTGCCTCGGATCCACCGATCTGCCGCCACAAAAAAAGGCCGCTGGTGGCCATGCCAGGCCTTCCGGAAGACCTCACCGATCATTCGTTGCGTCAGGCCGTCTGCTCCTGGAGCGCCGTACCTAGAACGTCAGAGTCTGCACTGCACATTGTTCTCAGCGCACCCTTGCAAAAAACGATGCGAACATCTGTGAACATCATAGAAACAGATTATATATATTATATATATATATATACGTATCTGAATATGTGTGTGATTGTGTGTGTGTGTGTTTCTATTCTTAGTTTTCATGTTATGTTCAATAAATGTTCCATCCATGTTCCAAATGTCCGATTGGGTTCCATGGCTTCACATTTTGCTGGGCACATTGTGTAAGTCTTTCCAGCGCCGGTGATGCCATAGCAGAAGACTGTGACATTTCGCCCGTCCAGAGCTGACTGCGCCAAATCGCAGCTTGCGTCGAAGATGTCTTCCTCGTTCAAGATAGCTATTGAAAATGGCCATTTATAGTGGATTTACCCATTAAAAATGGTGATTTTCCATAGCTATGTTAGTTTACCAGAGGGTGCAACAAAAGGATCCAAGGTGTGGATCGATGTGGATCGATGTGGATCGATGTGGATTGTATGCCAGGAATAAAGGGCGCCATACCAAGCTGTTGATAATGATCATTGAGATGCCTTCAGTTCAACTCAAATACGAAAAACGGGTGATGTTGGAAATCTCACAGATCTTGGTTGGGCTGCCTGTGAGCTGGTCATGTCGAAGACGCCGTCAAACTCGAACATGTCACCAGTGAGAGGCACCTGTGCAACAGGGCCGATCTCTGAAAGCAACTGGTTTCGCTGATGTGTTGTTTCTGTTTTGTTTGTGGCGCCTCGATGTTTCGACATTGAAGTTCCCTCACCGCAAGAGTGGCGCGCCTGCAACTTGGTGCCATCCACCTTCAACGCCTCTCTGTCCTTGTTCCTCTTTTCCTTGTTGTTTAGCGGCCTAACCTTAGACATCACCAAAAACGACCAAAATGGCTCTGCATGCTCTGCCGTCATTGTTCCATATTGTCCGTGAAACGAGACCATGTATACCCGAGCGCACCCCGCAAACATTGAACTTCTGAGGTTTCCTGAGCCCCTCAGCCCGGCAATAGATCCGCAAGTGGCCCTTCAGGTCCTGTCATTTGCGGCACATGCCATGAAATGCTGGGATATGCTGGGATGCAGTGTAATGAATGGCGACGGCAATGGCAATGAGATATCTTCACCACGATATCTCCACCACTTGCATCGCTTCATATCGCATCATATCGCGACAAAATTCAATCCTGGTAGAGGTTGTGTATCCGCCGCCGCTGTCTCTCTGTCGGGGCCAGTCGTTCCTGCGAGCCATGCACATGCGTCACATCATGCCATTTCTTACCTTGCTCCGCCTTGACACAGGGATGCACAATCTCTCTGAGTCCCTCTCTCTGCTTGGCTGGATGATGTTGGATCTATACCAAACTGAGATAAGACCAAAATAGAACGGAAACCACCTTCGACACGCCCTTTCTCAACACATCGTCTCATGCACATATATTGCATTTTTTATTGCTGAACGTGATCGTCCACGGCAACTGAAAATAGGAAAATAGATGAAGAACGCTTGATTCTTTTTAAGGTCATAGACTTTGGCACTCCGTATCACACGGTGCAAGTGTTTTGTTTAGATGTCTGATGGTCAACGTTGGTAGAATTTTGTGGAAAGAAGTGTGGTGGGAGCATGTTTGCCGCAGAGTAAGGCCCCCTTTGCGATGTATACATGTATTTTTCATTCACCGACCATTGATGTCATCGTCATGGCCATCACCATCACCAGCACCATCATCATCGTCATTGCTGTTGTTCGGCATCAGAGCCAACTAAATATGCTCATATGTATATATCTCTATATATATATATGATCATATATGTATATTCCCCCCCCCACCAAAAAAAAAAACGTGGTTTGCTTGTTGCATGTCATATTGTGTGCTGGAACTATTTCCGTGTTTTGTGCTGGTTCGCAGCACGCCGTATCCGTATATTTCATGAGACGCCGCTCTAACCACAACAAAAACAAAAGCCCCATACTCTTTCTTTTGGTGCAATTCTTTGAGCACCTTCTGGTGCGAATCGCGATTGTTCAAAAAACCAATGCCAACCCTTTGGCACATGTTGCTTCTCCGCATATAATCATAATCAGCATGTAATCAGCATGTAATCAGCACGTAATCAGCACGTAATCAGCACGTAATCAGCACGTAATCAGCACGTAATCAGCACGTAATCAGCATGTAATCACCACGTAATCACCACGTAATCAGCACGTAATCAGCACGTAATCAGCACGTAATCAGCACGTATAATCAGTATGTAATCAGCATATAATCAGCATATAATCAGCATGTAATCAGCATGTAATCACCACGTAATCAGCACGTAATCAGCACGTAATCAGCACGTAATCAGCACGTAATCAGCACGTAATCAGCACGTAATCAGCACGTAATCAGCACGTAATCAGCACGTAATCAGCATGTAATCAACACGTAATCAGCACGTAATCAGCACGTAATCAGCACGTAATCAGCATGTAATCAGCATGTAATCAGCATGTAATCAGCACGTAATCAGCACGTAATCAGCACGTAATCAGCATGTAATCAGCACGTAATCAGCACGTAATCAGCACGTAATCAGCATGTAATCAGCACGTAATCAGCACGTAATCAGCATGTAATCAGCACGTAATCAGCACGTAATCAGCATGTAATCAGCACGTAATCAGCACGTATCAGCACGTCAGCATGTAATCAGTAATCAGCACGTAATCAGCATAATCAGCATGTAATCAGCACGTAATCAGCACGTAATCAGCATGTAATCAGCACGTAATCAGCACGTAATCAGCACGTAATCAGCACGTAATCAGCACGTAATCAGCACGTAATCAGCACGTAATCAGCACGTAATCAGCACGTAATCAGCATGTAATCAGCACGTAATCAGCATGTAATCAGCACGTAATCAGCACGTAATCAGCACGTAATCAGCATGTAATCAGCACGTAATCAGCACGTAATCAGCACGTAATCAGCATGTAATCAGCATGTAATCAGCATGTAATCAGCATGTAATCAGCACGTAATCAGCACGTAATCAGCATGTAATCAGCACGTAATCAGCACGTAATCAGCACGTAATCAGCACGTAATCAGCACGTAATCAGCACGTAATCAGCACGTAATCAGCACGTAATCAGCACGTAATCAGCATGTAATCAGCACGTAATCAGCACGTAATCAGCACGTAATCAGCACGTAATCAGCACGTAATCAGCACGTAATCAGCACGTAATCAGCACGTAATCAGCATGTAATCAGCACGTAATCAGCACGTAATCAGCATGTAATCAGCACGTAATCAGCACGTAATCAGCATGTAATCAGCACGTAATCAGCACGTAATCAGCACGTAATCAGCATGTAATCAGCACGTAATCAGCACGTAATCAGCATGTAATCAGCACGTAATCAGCACGTAATCAGCATGTAATCAGCACGTAATCAGCACGTATCAGCACGTAATCAGCATGTAATCAGCACGTAATCAGCACGTAATCAGCATGTAATCAGCATGTAATCAGCACGTAATCAGCACGTAATCAGCATGTAATCAGCACGTAATCAGCACGTAATCAGCATGTAATCAGCATGTAATCAGCACGTAATCAGCACGTAATCAGCACGTAATCAGCACGTAATCAGCACGTAATCAGCATGTAATCAGCACGTAATCAGCACGTGATCAGCATGTAATCAGCACGTAATCAGCACGTAATCTGCATGTAATCAGCACGTAATCAGCACGTAATCAGCACGTAATCAGCATGTAATCAGCACGTAATCAGCACGCAATCAGCATGTAATCAGCACGTAATCAGCACGTAATCAGCATGTAATCAGCACGTAATCAGCACGTAATCAGCATGTAATCAGCAGATTCCTCAGGTTCAAAGAAGCCAGTGAACAGGGCAACATCGCTGCACCTTCGGCAGGTTTCTGGCACGACCTTGTGCCAAGACCTCCAGGACATGGCAAAAATGCTTGGCCCCAAGACCTTGAGATTTCGGCTGATATCGAATCTGAACATATATCATATATATATATATTTATTTATTTATATGCATGCGTGTGTGTGTGTTATCTATAAAAGTGTCCTATCATGACTTTGATCCCGTCCTGCATCGTGTCATGTAAAATCAGGAAAATTCTGTAAGGCCACTCAAACGGCCTCCTGCAAGCGATCTCGTGCCTGTCCGTTGCCAGCTTCGCCGTTGCCATGGCAATTGATTTGTCTTGCTTCATTGCTGCGGTCTTACTTCTGTTCCACAAAAGGGACGAACAGGATTTATTCGAGATATAGATACATAAATTGATACAAATGCACACATACATACAGTATGTATTCCTGAATATTGCTGATATGTCGCTTTTTCAGCTGCTTTTCAGGTGCTTTTTCGGGTGTCAGTATTGCGCACCTCCTTGACCTCAAGCATGCCACTCCTCTCGGTGATCAGACTCGCTGCTTCAGCTACCTGCAGCCCAGTGGCCCAGTGGCCCTGCACATCTCAGCACCAACAAAGTTCAACGAAGTTCAACAAAACCAGGAAACCGAAAGGGAAGTTCTGTAATCAATTTAATCAAATATAGATGGTGTTTACCTGGGTTTACCTATTAAAACTGCGTGTGAGAATTTCATGCATCCCTATTTATCCAATTCTCAAATGGAAATACTTCCACTTTTGATTTGACTACTACCCAACGGGTGTAGTCCAGACTACTACCCTCCGGGTGTAGTCTAGGAATCTTGAAGAACCTGCATCTGGGCCGGACCGAAGCCCTTTAGATGTCAAGTGGCACAAAGGTGCGTCAGCTGGCAGCGAGGTGGCTGCTTGGAGTTTTGGGGAAACTTTTGTTTTTTGGGTTGAAACATTCTTTTTCCGGTTGGAGTCGAGATCTCAGTTGCTGTTCAGGGTTCCAGGACGGTTCACTTGTTGGCGTTGGGAGGCTTCAGGAAACACAGGTTATGAGCCCAAGGAGCTTGTGTAAACCCCCAAAGACTTCTGACATGATGCGTAGACGTAGACCGGATGGCGGCGCTGTCGATGGATCTGGCGCTGAGCAGATGATGGCAGCTGGCGCTGAGCAGATGGCGGCAGCTGGCGCTGAGCAGATGGCAGCGGCTGGCGCGGTGCAAGCGGCGGCAGCTGGTGATTGGCAGATAGCGGCTGCGGGCGCTGAAGGCGATGCAGCACAGGCGCTTGGGGCGAGAGGAGATGCAGCTGAGAGAGGCCTGGAACTGGTTGGACAAGAACTTGTACCAGCTTCTCAAGCCTTGGCCTTGAGGACACCGGATGGGTTGGAGAAAGGGCGAGGGTCAGACGCTGCAAAGGGCTCTAGGTCACCAAGGGCAGCCACAGAACCAGTTAGCCAGGGTCAGAAGTCAAAGGAGGGTTCAGTCAGAGGCCAAAAAGGAACCCCAAAAGAAATAGAACCAGAGAAGCGTCAAGAGATGGCAACACCCAGTGGACAGCCAGTTTCACTAGGTCCCCATTCCTTTGTGACACCAGAGGGACAGGTCCAAAGTATGTTGCCACTTTTTTCACCAGAGCAGACGGTGAAACTTCATGAGATCCACCAGATGCCTTTTGCATCGCCTGCGGCTTCATGGAATGGTCCTGCCGTTGGAGAACATGGACACGGGGGAGCTGAGCGACAAGCAGTTCCAGGTTGGTTCACAGGGTTGCTTCAATCAGTAGGATCTCAGCAAGGTGAACATGAGGCGAGGCAAAGGGATTACATGTGGAGAATGCAAGTTGAGCATGGCATAGAACATCTAGGGGTTCAGTTGCGTGCGGCACAGCATGAAAACCAAAGACTTCGTCAAGAGCGTCAAGAGTTGTTGGAAGCCTTGGAAAAGAAGGGATCGTCGAGGTTTACCACACCAGATGACAAAGCAGCCAACATGTTAAAAAAGGAGGAAGGGGCAGAGTCCCGGCAAGAAAGACCTTCCAAGGAGGAAGGGGCAGGTGCCCGGCAAGGAACACCTTCTAAGGAGGAAGGGGCAGAGGCCCGGCAAGACAGATCTTCTCAGGAGGATGGGGCAGAAGCCCGGCAAGAACAGTCAGAGAGCGATTCGTCTTCTGAGGAGCCGCAAAGAGCAAGCAGGCCAAAGGAGAGCGTTGACAAGCAGTCCATGAGGATCATGCTCAAGTTGATGGAGGGCATGCAGGAGCTTCAGAAACAGATTGTGATCTCCAAGGAGGAAGGAAAAGGTGATGAGATTGAAGTGGTGCGCTATGTGGCGGATCTCCCAAAACTTGCTGAATGGAATCCGGAGACGGCGCCCATCGATTTTGGTGATTGGGTGATTTGTCTGCATCCTCATATGGCAGACTTGAGCTCAACGAGTGAGATGTGGTGGGACTTGACCCTCTCAACAGCGAGGACTTGGTATGATCACCACATGAAGCTATCGCCAATTGAGAGGTTGACGAGCACACCAAGGCCTACACCAGAGTTGCAGCAGAAGAAGTGGTCCCGGCTGGAAAGAAGGGCTTCGTCCTTGCTCTTGAATGCGTTGCCGCAGACGATGAAAGAGGAGGTGATTGCGGCGAAGTCCATCACAGCTTTGGGCATTTTGTCTCGTGCGATGCTGCAGTTTCAACCTGGAGGGCTGACAGAGAGAAGCGCTATTTTGACGGCGCTGGAAGCACCTATGGAAGCTGCAACCGTGGGTTCAGCCATCCAACAGCTGAGACGTTGGATGAGATGGAAGCGCCGGGCCCTTGAAGTTGGAGTTTCAATTCCAGACAGTTCAATTTTGATGAAGGGATTGGGACGTTTGGTGAAGAAAATTGTTTCCAGTTACCCAGATCTCAACTTCCGCTTGTCGTTGGTCAAGAGCTCATTGTTGGTGGAGACAGTTCCAACGTTGGAGACAGTGACCCAGTACAGCGAACACCTTCTTGCAGAGCTGGAGCAGATGGGACAGCAGGCAAAAAGGAAGGAAGTGATGGCAGAGAGCCAGCCAAAGGTGAAGAAGTTCGAGGAAGCCTCGGGAAGCAAGCCTGAAGAAAGGACCAGGCCGAAGGGGAAGCCTCAAGAGGAGTTTGAAGGGAGGAGGAAACCATGTAGGTTTTACCTCACAGACTCAGGTTGCCGAAGAGGTAGAGGATGTCCTTTTGGACACCAGTTGGATGGAGAAAGAAGGTGTTGGACATGTGGAGGAAAGGACCATATGGCCACAGCCTGTCCGACCACAGAGGAGTCCAAGCCGAAGGCAGCAAAGTTTGGTTCCAAGACCCCAGAGAAGGATGTGAAGTCCGCTACAACATCTCCTGAAAAGTCCGAGGAGCAGTCTGAGGCCACGGGTAATGGAGGAGAAGAAACTATGAAGTCGTTGCTGGATGAAGCAAGTCGGATGCTCAAATCAATGAATGAAGGAGATGTCAAAGAAAAGAGACAGAAAGGGGAGGACGCACAAGAAAGGATCTTGGGCCTACAGAAGCAGCTGGATGAGCTCAAGAAGGCTTCTATGCGACCCTTTCGCATCTCCAAGTTGTGCCCAATGGTGAACAAGGGCTTACTGGACTCAGGGGCAACACACCCTTTGCGAGCCAAAAGAAAGGGAGAACGTCTTCACCATCTACCAAAGGTCAAGGTGACGCTGGCAGGTGACAAGGAGATCTATATGGCACTCACTCCAACGGGAGTCATTGTGGGCGAAGAAGGCACGGAGCCCATAGTGCCCATGGGATTGCTGACTGCAGTCCTTGGATGTGAAATCTCATGGAAGCCAGAAGGTCTTCAGGTGGTGCACCCAGTGCTTGGCAAGTTGGAGGTGGTGGTTGAAGCTGGATGTCCAATGGTATCACAGTCCACGGCCATGAAGCTCATCGAGGAGATTGAGGCCAAGGCCGTGAAGGTTGTGAAAAGTTTGAAAACGGGGGAGGACTCAGAAGAGGCATGGTTGAGAAGGTTGGTTGATGAACACCCAGCTCTTCAAGGAATCCCTGAGGAGGTAAAGAGAAGCTTGGTGGAGAAGCCTGCAACGGACATCCTACCGTTGGGAAACAGAAGAAGAAGGAAACTTTGGAGGGCGAAGGGTATGATGATTCACGCCTTTTCGGGAAAGAATGAAGGCTACACATTGGGAAGGGCTTTTCATGAGATTGGAGGTGATCGTCGATTGATGTATGAGTTTGACATCACCCATGGAAAGCTTGAAGCAGATCTTTCACCTGAAGGTGAGGCCTACCCGCTCTTGTTGAGGGCAGCTTTGGATGGATTGGTGAAGGGTTGGATAGCCGGGCCACCATGCAGGACCAGATCGGTTCTCAGACATCTTGAAGTTCCAGGGGAAGCCATGCCGAGGCCTCTGAGAAGTTGGAATGGAGGGGAGTTTGGCATAGAAGGGCTTTCGAACTTTGAGAAAGAGCAGGTCACCTTGGATGACACGTTGCTCATGCGGTTTTTGGTTCTCTACATTGTGTCAGAGACGGTGCGCAGAGCAGCTGGGCTAGAGACACCCACCACTTTGATCCTGGAGCAGCCTGCCTCACCTGAACACAAGCCTGAAGTGGTGTCGCTTTGGAGAACACCTCAATGGAAGAGCTTGGCCGAGATCTATGAGCTGCAGACCCAGCGTTTTGACAGTCAGAGTTTGGGGCCATAGCTACAAAGCCAACGACTATAGGAGGAAATCTGCCACTTCAAGTACCACTTCAAGGAAAGAAAGGGCAACCACGTGATGTCTCTGGAATGACCAAGGCAGAGATCTGCGAATCGTCCAGGAGATTGTCACGGTGGCCACCCTTGATGATGAGGTCCATTGCTGTTGCTCTCCAAACCTGCACCATGGGCGAAGAGGTCAAGTTACGGGCAGTTTCATGGCAGGAGCACATTGCAGCAGGCCATACTCCTTTTAGAAGAGATTGCAGAGTGTGCCAAGAGGCCTGTGCGCGTGATGCTCATCATCGGCGGCAGAAATTGCCACCAAAGGCGGGTGTCCTTAGTGTGGACATCTCAGGACCTTTCAAAGAAGCACCTGATTTGCAGAAGAAGAAGGCGAAGTATCTCCTGGTAGCCAGCTTCACTTGGACAGCCAGGAACCAAGATGGAGAGGAGGAGGTTGAGGAGATACCTGAAGTTCCCCCAGATGCGCCGGAGATTGAGGATCCAGAAGCAGAGGAGGAGCTACAGCAGATTGCAGATCAGGTTGAAAACCCAGAAGAAGGCCCAAAGGAGGACACATCAGAAGAGCTTGAAGAAAGAAAGCCGGTGAGGATTGAGGTCACCAAGCTTTGCGAGCCTTTGGCATCAAGGAGCCAAGAGGATGTGTCCAGGGCGATCATCAACATGTACATGCGTCTGAGAGCAGACGGGTATCGAGTGACACAGCTGCATAGCGACAGAGGAGCTGAGTTCAGATCGAGGATTTTGGAAAAATGGTGCCTGTCACGCACCATCCTTCAGACGTTTACGCCGGGGGATCAGCCCCAAATGAATGGACGTTGTGAAGCGATTGTCCAGCACATCAAGGCAGCCATCAGGCGGACACTTCATGGAGCTGAAGCACCTTTTGATCGCTGGCCAATTGCAGCTCGCTTCATCAATGAGAAGTTGCGACAGAAGCAGGTTGACAAGGAGAAAAAGACACCGCCTTTTTTGGCGCAAGTTTTGGTCAGAAAGAGGTTTTGGAGATCACGAGAACTGGAACCAACACAGGAGAAGGTCACTTACCTATGTCCTTCTTGGGTTCATCATGGGCATTGGATTGAAAGGGCAGATGGAACTCAGGCGCTGACGAAGATGGTCATGCAGGGCTTGAGTGAACCACCAAAGTTGGAGGATTGGATTGGAGTTGAAGATGCCTTGAACCCAATCGAAGAGAGGAGGAGAATCAGACACAAAGCGTCCATATACATGCTGGAGGTTGAGGACGCCGCGGAAGCAGATGAACTTGAGAACCAAGAAGGAGATGGCAGATCACCAAGTTTTGAGGAGGAAGAAAAGGATGCATGGGCCAAGAAACAAAGGGTCCAACGTTTGATAGAAGAGGAGATGGTTGAGGCCATGGAAGATGATGAGAAAGTTGCTGGCATGGTGCTGGATTCCATCACCATGGTCAAAGAGTTGATTGGACCTGAGAAAGGAGAAGAAGTTTTGCAGACACGCATTGTGTCACAAGCTGAAGTTCGCCGTTCCATTGAGGTTTGGAGGCCATCCATCGAGAAAGAGCTGACCTCCTTGTTTGAGACGAAAGGGGCGCTGAGAAAGATCACAGAAGCTGAGGTGAAGAAGCTGCTTGACGAAGATCGAGCAGAACTTATCCCTAGCAAGCTAGTCTTCACAGTGCAGCCAGATCAGACCAACAAGGGTGGCAAGAAAAAGACACGATTGGTGGCTTGTGGGAACTTCTCAGAAAGAGAAGAAGGGCAAGATCTCTTTGCAGGCGGAGCATCAGCAGTGGCACTTCGAGCTGCATTGACGGTGGCATCACAATTTAGTTTTGAAGGGAGCGTCATGGATGTGAGGACAGCATTTTTAAATGCTCCAATGGTTTTGTCCGGGTCAAAGGATGAGAATGGGGAGAAGATGGAGCCTAGAAGAGCCATCATCCGCCCTCCTGCTCTTCTCATTTTGGCTGGATTGGCCAAGCCAGACGAATTCTACGAGGTCATCATGGCCCTCTACGGCTACAAGGAGTCACCCAAATTGTGGTCAGACTACCGTGATCAGGAGATTGCAAAGATGGAGTTACCATGCGAGGGTGGCATTTTGACCTTGCAGCAAATGATCACGGAGCCAAACATGTGGAGAATGATGCTGAAGCAACCAGGTCCCAACTTGCAGACGAATGAGGAAGAGTTTGTGGGACTACTTTTGGTCTATGTGGATGATCTTCTGGTCCTTGGTTTTCCCTCATCCATCGCTGCAGTCATTCAAGGGGTGCAGGCGAAATGGGAGACATCGGAGCCAGAGACCATCAACATGCAGAAGGAGGTGAGATTTTTGGGCGCGGAGCTATGGAGAAGAGAAGATGGAGCCTGGTTGATGACGCAGACAAACTACATCAAGGACTTGCTGAAAAGAAATCTTGGAGCAGATCCCACTACGTGGCCGACTAGAAAGATTCCTTTGGTGAAGGAGCCGAGGTCATTGAAGGTGAGGAGAAGACTCCAATGGCAGTCAAAGAAGCCCAGCGAGTCATTGGTGAATTGGTTTGGATCACTGCCAGGTCCAGGCCTGATTTGGCTTTCACTGTCTCCAAGCTGGCGTCATTGATCACAAAGTCACCTATGCAGGTTGTGCAGTTGGTGAAACCAGTGTGGTACTATTTGGCAGCCACCATGGACCAAGGTTTGATTTTTCAGAACAACATGGGCGAGAAGCAGCTCAATGTGTACACGGATGCATCATATAGCGATATCTCATTTGGATGCCATTTGATCCTTTGGGGATCGTCGCTGTTGCTCTGGAAGGCTGGCAAGCAGCCCATTCAAGCTGCATCGACGGCCGAGGCCGAACTTGTGGAGGTGCTTGAAGGAGCATTGGCGGGAGATGCTGTCAAGGTCGTTTTGGAGGAGGCATTGGATGTTTGTGCTAGGTCATTTTCCTACACAGACAGCTCAGCGGCATTAGCCATCATTGCCGGAGATACTGGATCTTGGCGGACACGCCATTTGCGGAAAAGGGCCTTCATTTTGCGCTCAAGAGTTTTGTCTGGGGAATGGATGCTCCGGCATTTGCCTGGAGCTGAGATGCCAGCTGACCTGGGCACCAAAGTTTTATCGGTGCAGAAGTTCAACCAGCACAAAGAAACCATGGGCATGTTTTTGGAAGGTTGGAAAGTTTTGGAAAAGGTAGAAGACGGAGAACAGAATGAAACCACTTTTGGGATGACACAAGAAGCACGTGAGAAAGCGTTGAAGATCATCATTTTGGTGACAAAATTGGCGCTTGCAGGAGCATCGAATGAGGAGAAAAAAGAGATTTCAAATGCTTTGGTCATTCAAGACCTCAATCCAGTTTTGCAGCAGAGAGACGGTCAGTTTTATTTCATCATGTTTGTGGCTGTGATCCTTTTTGCCGGTTTCATCATTGGAGCATGCGTCATGGGCATTTTCATGTGGCACAGAGTTGACAAGCTCACTGTTGTCAAATACAAAGGTTCATTGCTGAACGTGCCTGCGTTTTTGTGGCATGCGCCAGAAAGAGATGAGGATGAAAGAAATCAGCAGCAACGTGATCCAACTGTCAGGCCAAATTGGTTGCCTTCTACGGCTGCTGGCGCTGCGGGCGCTTCACCTACGGCTGCTGGCCGTGCTGCTGGCGCTGCGGGCGCTGGATCTGCGGCTGCTGGCGCTGCAGGCGCTTCATCTACGGCTGCTGGCCGTGCTGCTGGCGCTGCAGGCGCTTCATCTACGGCTGCTGGCCGTGCTGCTGGGGCTGCGGGCGCTTCATCTAGTGCTGCTGGCCGTGCTGCTGGCGCTGCGAGCACTTCATCTACGGCTGCTGGCTGTGCTGCTGACGCTGCTGGCGATGGAAATACGGCTGCTGGCTGTGCTGCTGACGCTGCTGGCGATGGAAATACGGCTGCTGGCCGTGCTGCGGGCGCTGCATCCACAGCTGCTGGCAGTGCTGATGGCGCTCCAAGAAGTTATGGAGCAGCTGGCATTCCTAGCGCTGCAGCTGGCGCGGCAGATGGCGGCGCAGCGGCGCGTGAGCCGGCGAACATGTTGAGATCAAGAGGATCTCGTTCCCAAAGAGGACCAAAACCCCTTTTCACCACGCCATTTGGTGGAAGATACCACTGTGACCGTGAATGCCATGGTCTTAGACATGCCAAGGAAGTTTGTCTGACGCCACGATGTCACAGATGTGGCCCACAGTCAGACGTTCCCCAACATAGGCTGCATGCGATCTCACATGGATATGCACTTCATGTTGATTATGAGCATTGTCGTGATGCGGGATCCAATGGTCCACTTCGGGCCTTCAATCCATGTGCGATTTGCTGCACTGCAGATGATAGACTTGTTTAGAGGGCTTGAGCTGAATATGTGGTCAGTGGAACTGATCACATAGGGGGAGTGCGTGTGAGAATTTCATGCATCCCTATTTATCCAATTCTCAAATGGAAATACTTCCACTTTTGATTTGACTACTACCCAACGGGTGTAGTCCAGACTACTACCCTCCGGGTGTAGTCTAGGAATCTTGAAGAACCTGCATCTGGGCCGGACCGAAGCCCTTTAGATGTCAAGTGGCACAAAGGTGCGTCAGCTGGCAGCGAGGTGGCTGCTTGGAGTTTTGGGGAAACTTGGTTTTGTTTTTTGGGTTGAAACATTCTTTTTCCGGTTGGAGTCGAGATCTCAGTTGCTGTTCAGGGTTCCAGGAGGCTTCAGGAAACACAAAAACTATAGTGATTTTCCATGGCTATGTTAAATAACCAGATGGTAATCAAATTACATCACAGAGAAAATTAGGTTTCGACACATAAAATCGATGTCTGATATGGCCAAATGCTGCCAACAATATCCAACAGCCAACAATCATTCTCTGGGCTTGCCCACCAGCATGAGCTTCTGCAGGAGTTCCTCATCCTCCTGCCCATCAGCTGTCTGAATGCCTGGACCGGCACATGGGGCATTCAAAGGGTACATTGAGTACATTTGCAGCCGGGTGGTTTGCTCAAAAGAAACCGTTTCCAAGTACTATCCAGATCTATCCAGGACCGGGACCCCCAGAATGATCCAATTGAAATTTATGACCTCAAAAGTACCACTGCATGTGGATCATTGACACAGCCTAAGGAGTTGCTGGACTGGAGCTGCCTGGCCAAATGCCATTTTTTTCCACAGAAAAACATGGGGCAAGACAGCAACTCAACTTAAAGTCAGGTTCAGGAGAATATCGTGAGATCAATATAAACTGCAAAATTGTGTGCATATATATATATATAATATACATACACTGATTATTTATTGATTGATTGATTCATTTATTTAATTATTTATATCGTAATGATGCATCTTTAAGAAATAAAGGATTAATCTCTTGGCATTTCTCGGCATCGAACTTCAAAGATTGCGACTCCAAGCCATCCTCAGCCTCAGCGCTAAGCTTTGTCCAAGTTACTCTCTGTTAAACTAACATAACTACGGAAAATCACCATGTTTTAAAGGTAAATCAACTATAAATGGCAATTTTCAATAGCTATGTTAAATTACCAGTGGACCAGAGGGTATCCAGTCGTTTCACCATGCTTTCGTCACTTCGTTTACCCTTGTTTAGCCTCTAGGATCTCTCGGCCCCCAACGCTGGCCCTCACCGCGCTGGCGACGCTGGCTAATTGTGAGACATTGTTTGGGACACTGCTCGACCATCGTTCGGTTGGATAGCCAGCCATTGGCGTCGGCGTAACATGCCCCGGGATCGAAACTGAGCGCACGATCGGAGTGGCAACCCCCGGAACCGTCGGCGGGACAGTTGCTACGGTTGCTACGACCGGTGGGGCGACCTGACACACGTCATGTGGGTCCCATGTCCCGTCAGGTCACGTCAGGTCACGTCAGGTCACGTCACGTCACGTCACGTCAGCCACTGCTTGGCAAATCTTGCAAAGGGGCTATCCAGGGCTCCAACCATGCGAGGAGACCGAACAGTTGAAGCGACGTGAATCGTCCTCATCGTTTTTTTGGAGGCCAGATTTGAGACACGCCCGTTGCGACCCTGTCGTGCCTTCGTGCGACCGGTCCACAAGAGACTTGTCTTGGACTCAGCGGCACCTTTGGTGAAACCGCCTGGGGCACCACTTGCACCGATGGTTTAAATTTAAGTCGTGTGTTTGTGTGATAGCTATGAGTATTTTTACATATATAGATAGATAGATATATATATAGAGAGAGAGAGAGATATGGATATATGTATAATGTATATATGTATATATAACAAATATACAGTATATAATTATTTAATATGTGTGTGTGTGCGTGTGCGCTATTTTCTCTCTCTCTCTCTCTCCAGGGCCATCAGCCTCGTCAGCAAAGTCCCGCATCTTTGTTGTCTGTATCTCTCTCCATCGCCATCTCAGAGAATTCTATTTATTTGTCTATTCTGTATCTGTGCAATTCTGTCCAAAAATTTATCACTTGTAACCCAACCTGGACCTATGCAAACTTGCGCCAATCACAAAATATCACAAAGTCCTCCTGAAACAAGCCAGCTGCGCTCCATCAAAGACCTGCTTTCGTGCTTGCGGACGCATCCTCGGATGATCTCACAGCATGGAAATGGGTTTTTCAGTGGATCAAGCTTCTAGGAAACCATGGGGAACCATGAGGAACCATATTTTCATCCATATATCATATATAATAATATATATATCATATATATATATATAAATATATATATATATCATATATAAGTTATAAATCCATAGAATACAAGTACCAATATATAAGTTATAAATCCATAGAATACCAACAAGGACCAACCTGGCACCTGGACCGACATGGCAGATCCGCAGCATGTCGGGGTGTCCCATTGAGGAAGGGGGGATTGGAAGCGCTGGTGACGGCTGCATGTTGGGATGAAGCCTGAAGCCCCCTACTTGGCAGCGTGTCATGCTATACGGCATGCCATGCCATGCAATTCAATGGAATGTCATCTAATTTCATTTTGTTGAATTCAAAAAATATTCATGTCATGTATAGGTGAAAAATGTATAAAAATGTCATGTATATATGTGAAAAATTGATCTAAAAAAATGCAGGATAGTGCAAGATATTGCGGGGATGCGTTCGGATGCATTGGAAAATCAGGTCAGCTATGGTCAGCTATGGGATCTCATCCCGCCGGACGGGTCCCAAACCCCAGATCATCCAGAAAGCGCTGCAACCGACAGGGAACGGTGCGGTTGAGCACTCCCCAGATCCACCCATCATTTACCCTCTGGTAATTTAACATAGCTATTGAAAATGACCATGTATAGTGGATTTTCCCATTAAAAATGGTGATTTTCCATGGCTATGTTAAATTACCAGAGGGTACACATTCCTAGACCTGCCGATGGTACCAAATTTCTGGCACCACTCCAAACATCAAACATCTTTTTTTTGCGTAAAAAATGAACACCGTTTCGAGACAACTGATGGTTCACTGGACCAAAATCGTAAAACTGATGGACAATGGGAGGTTTTCGGATAAAAATAGACACGAGCAAAAGCAGTTCAACCTCGGATGGAAATGGAAACAGTCCCTGACTGTCACAGGTTTTCTGATACTTTGGTGATGTGGGACCAGTTGCAAACGCAGCTGACTCCGCAGCAAGATGCAGCAAGTGGCTGTTGAAGTAAATGCTGAACTTGCTGGTGCGACTGAATCAACGGGCCCAGCATCCTGGCGATGTTTTGTTCGGCAGATCGTGATGATGAATTTTCGAGTGAAATGAGCCAAGATTTAATATGAGAATATATGAGAATATAATAGAATCAGAATAGATCGAGTATATCATGATATGTGATGATATATGTAGTAGATATGTACTAGATAATTATGTCATATTATGTCAAGATTGTGATTGCAGTAGGGTACAGGACAATCAGTACAGTAGTCGAGTAAGGTCAGACTGACTGGGTGCTCAAGTTGTTTTTTTTTCCAAAAGTCTCCAGTCGTCTCCGTGACCCGTCTTCTGGGAGGAATCATGCAGGTGGCCACTGGTTGGCTGAAGCCAACTGGGCTTCCAAACGCCTGGCAAAGTCAGAACAGCCCCTTTGCGGATGGATGCGGATGGATGCGGATGGATGCGGATGGTCACTTCATATCTACCACTCTGTTGAACCACCGGACCAAGAGAATCACTCTTTGTGTAGCGAACCAAGTCAAGTCTATATGTCCATATATTTCCAAAATTGTTCCACTCTTTAATGTTCTTCTATAACTCTGATGTTCAAGGATGGTTGCAGACAATCGCACCGAATAGCACTGCCTAGACTGATCTTCCAGCTGCATTCGCACCGCTGCAGCTTTCGCCTTGATGTAAGCGAACTTTTTGCAAGAAATCTCTGCGAGCTGTGAGCTACTGTTTTGGTTGCCATCAACGTCTCTCAATGCCCCTTTTTCATTAAGCCCCTGGTAATGCTTCGATCCAACTCACATACTTTTTTTGGGCTGACCTTCTTTACAACTGCGCCAGGGTTTCTTGAATTTTGCATCACCTGCACTTCCAAAAATTACAAAGGGCAGGGTCAAATGACTGTAGTACATGACATGTGCATGTATTGGACTGCAACATTGTGCAATCAGTCAAAGCAACATCTCACGATGATTGTCGATATCGTCGGGGCCAACGTCAGGGTCAACACTCTACCACACCTTTCGTGTCGACGATCTCACTGAGGGCTGCCCCACATAGTCCCACCATGCCGTTGCCGATGGAGTAGTCCCTCTTGGAGCAGGAGATTTCCCGAGAGTTGAAGCCCGATTGTCGGAAGGGTCCGATGTTCTCAGTGCGGTCCCCAAAGAAGTGGACGTCTGACGCTGCAATGTGGATGTCTTTCGTGGCATACCACTCCACGATACCCTTTACCGCCTTAGCTCACTTTGAGCACTTGGCTTGGCAAAATCAATCAGACTGTGTTGGCACAGCATTGGTGGCATTTGGATCGAAGATTGTCAAAACGGCGTCGCATATACACATGCCAAAAAACAACCTCTTAAACACCTTAAAATGATATGTTACAATAAATATAATATACTCGTATGCTGTCCAGAGACATCTTGCTTTGTTCGGTCCTCAGTTGCACAAGGGCTGGCTTGTTGGAGTGATGGAAGTCACAACTTAGACTAAGCAAGGCAAGCAGCAACAAAAACCGCTACAAGAATAGCCTTACACATCTTACACGACAAGAATCTGGCCAACGCAAAACCAATGGCGAATTCACTTCGCTGCCGTCTGACCATTCCTTCGCTTCCCGTTCCTTTCTCTGGAGTCGTTTGAATGGACGACTCTTGAGGACGTTCTTCAGCAAATAGCGCCGCTCAGCTGAGAGATAACCACTAGCGGAACCAGCGGACACAACTCCAAGGTAGCAGTCGTTGCAGAAGGTCTTTTCCAGATTTTGGCCAGCTTCTGAAAGATGTAGCCAGCCTCCTGAATATGCTGAATCCCAAATGAATGAGGCTTTCTTGTTGTTGGGACAGTCCGAGTCTGGCCCTCGGATCCCTTGTTTTCCTGTCAGGGTTCGGTCAATGTCAAAGACACAAAGACATTCTCCGCCAGGGGTTGGTTGGTTCTCTGATGGCGGTGCCATGTCGGAAGGAGGGACTGTGGTCACTGGCTCCGGGTCGCTGCACAATTTCACTCCAGGTGTGTCCACGATCTCAGACACCAACGCGCCACAGTAGCCTACCATGCCATTGTGATGGGATTGGTCACCTTGGCGAAATCCAGGTCGCTACGACATGTTGGGCAGGCTACTCAACTCTGCCACTATCGGGTACAGAGATAATTCGCTTTGATTTGTTGTCTCTCTGGATGTCTCTGGATGTCTCTGGGGGTGGGTTCAATTGTTATTCTTCTATTACACATGCATGTGGGCCCATCCGTTCCTCTCCTATACCTCTCTTTGAGCATGCAATATGTCAATCTGACATACTGGGCGTACATGGCAAGCACGCTCAGCACGAACCATCACAATCATCACAACATTAACATAACCATCGCTGTAAATGTCCTAAAATATCTAAAATTGAAATTTTCCATTGAAGATGAGACACGAGAATCACACGAGATCTCACGTGAGTTGTAGCCCTTTGAAGCAAAAGGGCCAATGTTCTCAGTGCGATCTCCAAAGAAATGCACCTTGGGTGGTCGGATGGTAATGCCTCTCTGCGCATACCAGTTGACAATGCCCTCAACGGCATCCTGTTTCTTCCTGTCTGCATAGCCCAGCACCAAGGGGGACCCCAGAGTGCGGCGACGAGACCAGCGTGCAGCTTTGGGGTACTCCTCTCGCAGTTTGCTGTAAGGCTCGCTGAGCAGTACATGATCCAACAGATAGTCCTTCTCGTCAGGACCACTGGCCCAACCAGCTGAAACGATGCCCAAATAGCATTGGTTGCAGAAAGTCTGCTGCAAATTCTGGCCAGCATCTGAGATGGTCAACCATCCTCTGCTGTAGGCATAATCCATAATGCCCGGAATCTCTTTGTTTTGAGGACATTCGTTGTTCGTTGCTGTGCCTTGCTTCCCAGTCAGGGTGCGGTCGATGTCAAAGACACATAAGCAGTCTCCACCAGTTGAAGGGGTTGATGTGGTGGATCCCGTGGTGGATCCCGTGGTGGATCCCGTGGTGGATCCCGTGGTGGATGCCGTGGTGGATGTGGAGGTATCTTCTTCATCCGCAGGATCATAGCAATAGTCAAAGTTTGAGACACCCCGACCAGAGCAGCCCGGAATTCTTTGATGACCATCTCTTTGGAAACATTTCAAAGAGCCAGCACAGTCACTGTCTTCATCGCAGTCCCCGGCACACTTCGGCATGTTGGCCCCACCTTGTGAACCATAACTGCTATCCAGGCTATCCTCCGTGCTGTCGCTGTCGCAGGCAGGGTTGTAGCAGTAGTCCATGCGATTGTAGGCAAAGCCATGGCAGCCGGGGACCGCCTCGTTCCAACTCCTTTCTTTGCACTTCAGTCCTGGAGCACAATCACTATGATCATCACAGTCGCCCTGACACTCCGTCATGCCAGGCTCACCATCTCGGCCCAAGTTCACAAACTCCAAGTCGCACTGCCCAGTGATTTGGCTTCTCATTTTCCTGAAGATCTTCCCAGTCGCATTCGAGTCGCCTGCCTTCTGTGCCTTCTGTGCCTTCACCACTGAGGCGACCTTCCGCTGCAGCAGCAGATGGTCCCGGGTCACATTCTGGGGGCAGCTGCCATCACTGCACTCGGCTGCGGCCGCGGCCACGGCCACCACGGCCACCACGGCCACCACGGCCACACCGAGGCTCCAAAAGGTTACCATGGCCCGGGGCTGGCGCCAGCTGAGCCAACTGACAGTAACTGCAGATCAACACTGAAGAAATCTAAAGAACACAAACAAGCGCTTGAAATGAACAAGATACAATTCTCATGGATTTGTAACATTAAGTGTAAAAGAATGCGATATATTTTATATCTATATTTTTTTTGCTCATGGTGTGTAGTGGCTCACGCCGCGACCAAGCAGCAAATTCCAGTCAGCTGTGAACAGCACCACCGGCATAGTCGGGACCTAGCTCATCGCTATATACCTTTACATTCATTGATGAGCAGGTATCGAAAAAGATGCCGGGGATCTCTACAGAGGCACAAACTGGCAAATTGCTCAGGGAGTGCCAAAAAGACGTGGCAAGAGCGCCACAGAGGCTGGGGGGGTACTCCTTTAACACCATAGTGTTAAACTTCCCGTCAACTCCCCTGCCTATGCTCACCCCTTTCGGGAGCTCATCTACAACCCTCCATTGTCGAATCTGCAATCCCAGGGTAGGAAGATTCAGCGCCAGGATCATTGTAGGTTTGGCTGAAACTGCACCAAGGAGTCCCTGTGCGAACTCCCATAATTTGAAACCCGGCAACTGCAGCAACAACTGGAGGATCGGAGTGTTCCAAATTGATGCCGACGTGGGCTTGGGAGGTCTTGCTGGATGTTCCAGTGCTCCACACCCTCCCATATCATATAGAACACTCATCATAATGAGGCTGAAGAACATGAGTTGATTGCCAACCAAAATTTGTCGGATCTCCCGCAGAGCAAGACTGACGAAACCCCATGGTTGGTCAGCTGAGCGGATGACCCTAGGACCTTGTCTGGCACCATATCGGGCTCCCTCCCCAAGCATCTGTTCTCGGGCTCTACTCCATGTCTCACAGGGGGGTCCCCCTAAAAAGGCCACCACCCAGCCTCTTCGGGCCGCTGAAATCCAGAATTGCTGCACCCTCTCATCACTGACATCGCCCCATTGGCGGTCCAAGATGATATCCACTGACAAGGTGTGTATCACAATACCTGGATGTGACTCTGTGATTGCGTCAAGGAAAAATTGGAAATCTCCTTGACGACGTCGGCCGGAAAATGCGTGGAGAATAAAGCGATGTACTCCAAAGCTCTTTGGGGGCGCTGCTGTCATGGCCGCTGGACCTAGAGTGGCATTGTCGCACTGCCATTCCAGGTCCGCAACGGTGCGCACCAGCTTGTCATCACTTGCTTGATGTTGAAACCATGGCCATGTATTTGGGTCAACCAATGTACTAATGCTCTCATCAAAAGCAGACCGGGTCATTGCAAACACTTCCAGATCTTGGGCACTGGCATTCCCCTGGAAACATTCCATGGTATGTACATAGTGCGACCACGGAAGTGGCTTGGAAGTGGCTCTCGCACGTATCTGTTGGCACTTGTCAAAAGCTGACCCTTCAGACATGAACATCTCCGTGCATTCTCCATAAAATTCCACATCAAAATTTTCCACTTCACGCAATCGGACAGGTGGCAAATTGGGCCCCATACTTGCCAATGGTGGGAGGAGGCCATCATGCTTCTGATCCAATTGTCTATCAGTCTGCGAGCCATGTCCTTGCTGCGGTACGCAGCGATGGGGTTGGCTTTGAAGGCTGCGTCTGCAATGCTCAGAATATCTCAAATGGTTATGGAGCTTACCAAACGTGTAATATTCTTTCATGCAAACTTCACATCTCGTATGATCAAAGAGATATCGCAGATTGGAGAGAACACCATGTTTCTTGAACATGTGCGCTCCTTCACCCCCTTTGGACTTGAAAGCTTGTGCACAACACATGCAACCAAAGCGCTGGGCAACAAAGGACTCTTCCCTCTGCCGAACAGATCCAGATGGTAGGATCAGGTGATCATGCTCATAGAGGCAATCCAAGATACGCTGGTGTCCTTGTTGTACAACCCAATCATTGTGCCGTTGCAGGATTGCGTGTTGTATGGCACGCTTGATGAGTCCTTTCCAGTACGCTTTGTGATATATCCACAAATACCTCCAGGATTCAATGTTTTGATCCGGGGCTGTCAAACTGGAACTATGTTCAAGCTGCCGCCACATCCACATAAGGTCGTCTCGAAGCAATGCACACCATTCGGCATCACGATTGAGAAGGTCCCATGTGACCACATCTGAGCAAGCATGAAGAGTGCCGAGATATCGCAGTCTGGCTTGTCGCAGAAGCTCTGTGGGCGACGGCAGCTGCAATGTTTTGAGTATCCATTCATCAGAGTGTCTGTCATCAGGTTTGCAACTAAGGAGCCTTCTGTACAAACGCATAATGGCAGAATGAAGAAATTCTTTGGATCTCATATCACGGAGGACCCAGGATTCACATCCGTAAATAAGCTTACTTAGGATGAGGGTGTTGAAGAGTTGGACTCTTTTGCTGATCGCTATGGCTGTGTTTTGATAGATCACCTTACGGTGAGTGTTGAAAGCAGTGTGCGCAATGGCAATGCGCCGCTTCATCTCCTGTCGATGATCTCCACCGTGATGGAGCAATCCTCCCAAATGCTGGTATTGGCCAACAACAGAGACAAAATGCGTGCCTGCTTCACTCACCACAGGGATATGTCCAGCTGAATTGGGTCCAAACAGCTGTTGCTTTGCTTTGCGCACTCCTCGTCCACGCAACGAAAAGAGAATTTCAGTCTTCCCCTTTTTCAAATTCGGGGTCATGCCGAAACTAGTCAAAGTCTCCAACAACAGTGAGGTCGTAGCTCCGGCTTTGGTGATGAGTTCTCCAGGAGAGTTGGCTTTGATGCCTACACAGAGATCGTCCATCCAGACTGGGCCTGTGTAAGGAATTTGACTTCCAACTGTCTCAGAAACATCAAAAGGTTCAAACCTCTTCGCATCTGTGATATACTCCTGGAGGCCTTCATGACTCATCCGCTGCTGGAAGCATTTGATGACTCTGGCAAAAAGGTAACTGAAAATTACATCAGCAAAGCAGTCTCCAGGCCTGGAACCTACGGAGGTGTGGCAACAATCATCTTGTCCGTGGACTTGGAAATACGTGTCTGTATGCAGGGACTGCAGCACACGTTGCAGGTGTGGAGGCAGGTGTGCTTGGGCAATCGCACAAGGCTGTTGGAGATGCGCATGCAATTCATGAAGCGTCTCCGGTGGCATGGCGAGCTTTTGCACAATTTGTGCAAGTTGTTGATCTGTGTATTGGCCTCCGACAGCAAGAGGGCGGAGTACTCGGTAGAACGCTTCTGTGAGATCTACCATGAGCAGGGCAACTGACATGCCTTTGATTTGATGGCTTCTCAGGTATGCTCTGGCCTCATGCAGGCCCAGGGTGACGGGCACCTTCCTACGACCCCCAAGCTGTTGTGCACACAGGAATGTTTCGTAGAGCTGTGCTTGGTGCTGACGAACAGTTCTATGGAGAACCTTGCCCATATGTGAACTGATCAATAATGAGCGATACGAGGTGGGATCCGTAGTCAAGCCCTTCCCTTTGTAAGCTGGCACCAAGATGCCCCCTTTGTGGGACAACGATTCCTGTCCATGGACAACCAGCTTCATAAGGACACTATAGTACTGCTTGGCCAACGTGGTTGGGCAGGCAGCACAGAGCTCCGGCGGAATGAGATCCAGTCCCATGGCTTTCCCTCGTTTTACTCTTCTGAACGCAATTTCCAGATCCGTCAAGCTCGGCATGTCATCGGGACCAAGACACACCTGCTGCTGTTGGAAGGCATGTAGATTGGCTTGCCATGTAGCCACCAGCTCTGGCCAAGTCATGCGAACTCCTCCTTCCATCTGCCCAAAGAAGTTGATCCACTCGTTGCGAAGCTGGTCAGGACTCTGACACGACTTACCTTCTGTGGTTTGCAGCATCGGTAGCGTCGGCTTTTTGAGACTTTTGAGATTGGTGGATCCTACATGCTGCTTGACGAGCCTGAGAATTTCCATGGCAGAAGCTCCTTCAGGTAGATCCTGAAGATCGTGCTGGATGGCTGCTTTGCGCGCAGTCTTCAACTTCTGTTTCAGATTGCGAGCAAGAACATGCAATTGGACTCCCTGATGAAGTCTCCAACACGACAGGGCCACGGTGTAGCGGTGATATATGTCAGCATATCTATCACAGTCTTGCTCGCAGACCTGGGATTTCAAGCCAAACCATGCCGCACGCAACAATTCTGCACGAGCCCTACCAGAGATCTCCTTTCCAACTCGCCTACATTGAAGCTTCTGGGTTCTGAGGTCCCAGATATCTGCTGTGATGAAGCTCTTCTTGGCTTGGGATGAAGCCAGTGGACATGATTGCCGAAGACATGAAAGTAGATGCTGATTGTGCATGTCCACATGCGACTGAACATCTTGTGACCAGGCGGGGACAACATACTTACAAAGTTGAGTCTGCAAGGTCCCCCTACTGATAACTTCACGGTTAATGTTGCTTCCCCTGTTACGTTGTAATGGAATCTGTGACATTTCTTTCCAAGAAAGCTCAATCCCTGTGACTGCATGGTCCCAATGACTGTTGCCAAGATCAAACTCATCAATCACTCTGGAAAACATGCAGTCACGGAGTCGGTTCACAGGGACGCACACATGATCAATGCAGTGCTGTGTAAGACCATCAGGTGATGTCCAGGTAGCTTGTGGCCCTTGATGACAGGAAAATGTACCCGGAAGTGCGAGTCTCCATGTCTCAAGGAAATCACGAAAGAGCGGTGTGGACTTCGATGCTTGAGTGTTCCTAGGTCCTACATGAATCGCATCGGTGTGACCAGGTGTGGCATTTGCATCAATCAGGAGATAAATCTCCGCATCAGCCGCATGCTGTGTCAGAATTTCATGCATCTTGCACCACCATTCCCTTCTAGCGTTTTCCGGATGTCCACTGTGTGGAGCATGCGCAACAACAATCCATGCCGTCCACAACTCATGTGAAATTTTGGTGAGCAGTATACTGGAATCTGCATAGACAACCACAACATTCTGCTTGCTCAAATATCTGGGCCTGGCACCCACATTGGCAAAGGGCTGTCTGAGATTGATCCACAACTCTACTCCGTACTGCCCTCCTGAGCCACCTCCACCCAATCGCAGTACATCATCGCATTGTGAACAAATGGCGGTGGATCTAGATTCTTGAATGCCAAGAAAAAGCAAGTGCAAGGCTTTCATTTGATCACGTATGTATTGTAGTTTTCCACTGTAACCGTCTGGTCCTGTATGCAATGAATTAACATTCGCTGTGGCCAGACTGATACAGAATCGAACCAAACAGGAACGACAACGACTTGGTTCTGCTGTAGTGATGGTCGCGGGCAATGCTGGCGGCTTGACATCAAATGCAATTCCCGTGAAATCCGGCAGGCCCACATCTGGCGTGACCTGCGTCCACAAGTGCTTCAAAGCAGACTTCCAGACTTTCATATCCAGGGCCTGTCGTCTGTGGTAAAAACTGCAGTGTCGTTCACGCTTGGCCAACAAGTCGGCTAAGTCGTTCCAGGGATCATTGCAGTGTCCATGCACATGTTGGATGTTCAGACCATCCGCCAAGCTGCCCTCAAGGCATTGGAAAATCGCCCGGAGGTTCACAAAGGACTCATCAACTGTCGTTGCTCCGTTGTTGCCTTCTGCTTGGCATCCAGCTGTTTTGGAGTCCGTGCAAAATGTTGTAGGGATATTACAATTCTGCGCCAATCTCCATGCTCCACACCAAAACATGGCCTCCCTTTCCGCCGTCTCAGAGCCTACGCATTGTGACCCAATGTGATGATTTGCATCAATGTCATATAAGACTGGCTGTGCCGTCCATCCAATAACATTGACTTTTGAGCGAGTGCCATCAACATACTGCTCAGCTATCACCACAAACGCCCATGTATCTCCATTTCCTTCCTGTTCCACTTGGGCCGGTGGTCTCCTTCGGTGCTCCGGTTGGGAACTTCCGTCAGCATAGATGACAATACGATCAATGTGGTCCAGCACTTCACACTGCAGGAGCGCTTGGCGAACATGGTCCGGCAGGTCCAAGCCTGCAAAAGATCTGCACAGAATGCCAGTGGTTGATCTAAAGAAGGCTTGAATTTGAGGTTGCTCAACACCGATAGACCATGAACATGGTATCTCCTTCACTGTGACCTGTTTGGGAACAAAAATTTCACGGAGAGGACAAGCAATAGGCGTTCTGTCAGGCCAGGGTGTCGGTGTCTTGATGGGAGTCTGTGGTATGAGCGGTGTCTGGTTTCGAAATACTATAATTTGGCTGTGTGATGCAGGGGATTGAATCTGCAGAACAACTGCTCTATGATGACCTTGCCTGTACAACCATCTCATGTGATCAATTTCAGTTCTTGGTGCTGCCGTCACATCATGGTATGTGAAATGGAAAGGTCTGTCGGCATCATCAATATAGAAAATGTGCCATGAATTTGTTGGCGTCCAGAGATCCAAAGAGAGAAGAACGTCAATCTCATCAAGGAAGTGCCAGTCCTGTGAGTCGCCTGGTTGCATCCACTGCATTGCTTCTTGGATCACTTGTTCCTCACCAGCGTCTGGCAAGACTTCTATGAAGGTAGGCAGCATAGTCTTTTCATGAGCAACAATTCTGACAATTTTGCTTATCCCCTGCCTAGGTTCATTTGAAGGTGTGTCCCTACGTCCTGGATGAGTACTGCTGACATCTTGAACTTCGCTCCGCACCTGATCCAGCAGTTCATGATAACTCTTGATTGTAGTTTGCCTGAGGTCAATGCGGGTTTGAAGCAGGTTCATATGCGGCACAGGAGTTCGAGTCTCAGTGCCTGCTGACATGGGCTGTCTTTGTATACGGACATGGATGCTGCTGCCTGATCGACCAGGCCAGAACTGTCCTGGGAGCAATTCTCGGTTCTGGATCCATGCACGACAGCTAAGTGGCTGATTGTTCCATATACACGCTACATCATAGCCGCATGCTTGAACAACATGTTCCAATTGGATGTGTTCATGTGTGGTTGCCACAAATCGCATCAACTGTCCATCATTCAGGGCAGTCATGATAGAGTCTTCCACTGAGACAAGATTGGAGACCCATGTCTCTCTTGGCGCTTGTATGAGGATTACATGTGCCGCGATTCCTCGTTCCATGCGCGGCGGCGGTGGCAGAACAACTTCCATTTCAAGAGGGAAACGAGGATCAATGAGATCTCTCCAGCGTGCTCGAATGTTCTGTTCCCATGCTTGAAAGTGAGAGTCTAGTTGGACTGCACGATAATCAATGCTTGTTGGATACGCCTCTCTGTGGTCTACGAACCAAGTGAGAATTGTGGCAGATGCCGTCTCACGATGCCAGGAAGAGGTTTGTTGACTCCAACATGCATGCAAGTCTTGTATGAACTCAGGTTGTGCCCCAATGGGGGGTAGGCCTGGAAAAAATACCGGCGCATTACTGTTGAGCTGCGACTGTGAACAAGCTTGATCCTCAACATCCAGGGCAGTTTCTGTCTGTGGCTCCCTATCAGTCAATGTCCTTTGCATCAGGGACAAGGCATCAATACTCTGCGTGACATCATGCACTGAAAAAACTTCAGGAGAAGTTGCCCGCAGTTGCAAACTAAATCCCGATGGCAAAGGTTCAGGTATAGTGAGACTCAATTCTCTGGTGCCATATCGAAAGGTGCATTCACTCTGGTGGCAATAGGGCCAAAAGCCTAGAGCTTGTGCCGCAGTCTGAAAGCTGAGTGGATTGGGCACTGTAAAAGCTCCTTGCATGATGCCATTCTGTCTGGGCCCAATCAACAGGCCTGTGAGAATTCCTGCACTTCGGTCTGGTGGGCGTGCTTGTTCTAACAGGACATGGCATGCGACTTGACGACCCCTGGACTGTGACAATTGTGGAGTGACAATGTGTATGGATAATGGTACACTATTATCCAAATGGTCTCTCCATGCATGTCGAAAATCTTCGATCCAGGTGATAGCTTGACCTTCCAAACGTACTGGGCGAGGCTGGACACAGGACTGATAACTACTGTGATGGACAAACCAAGTCATGACATGCAGAAAAACAACACCCTGGTGATTTTCGTGAATGCCATGTGTGTGTCAAAAAATCCAGCTAGTTCATCAAACCATCTGAAATCTCCATCATGTCTGGGCAGCAACTCACGCATGGGTGCATGTGGCGGCAGCATCATAGGGATGTCAATTACATCATTGTTGGGACTGGGCTTGAGCTCCTGACCCGCCAAGGTCGGCTGGAGACTAGTCCGATGCTTTTGAATGCAAACCGCTGTCTGGACCAAGGAACTTTCATCCCCATCATCAACACTTTCGTCCGGCATGATTTTGATGTAGATTCCTAGACCATTGTGCACCTGAAAACTCATATCATCCGGATGAGGTGTCGGATGCACCCACGTCATGCGTCGATTGGAATACTTCGCAAAGAACGGAGCTGCTTCCATGAGGTCCTGTGGTGTGCAGCGTTTGGGCACTGCAATGGCAAATCTCACTATGACACTGCGTTCGTTTTCTGCCACGAATTCCAAAGCCAAAAGTGCAGATGACAGTAGAGTTGGTTTCTGCGTGATGATGACATGTGCTATGTGTTCCTCTATGTCGGCTCGCGGAACATGCGGCGCCACCATGTCAATCAAGACACTATCTTCTTTCACAATCTGATGTTTCCATGGGTACAAGACATCTTCTTCCCATTCATCTGGTTGGATGCCAAGTATGGCTATTCTCGGAGCATTGCATAAACGGAGACGTTCATGATCCAAATACCACGTGTATATGCTGAAGAAAGGCTCTGCTTGGTCTCCCACCGCGCACCTGTCAATATGCTGATTGACCAGGCTCTGTAGGTTCAACAACCAATCATGGGGTACAGCTTCTTCACTACTGCTGGCATTCAGCTCCTTTGCAATTTGGTCTGCAGAAATGGCATCGGTATGGGCTTGCATGGCATGAAAGCAGTCATCTTCTTCTTCCAGTGTGGCATTACCGGGTGAATCATGCTGCATATCATGGCGCACTACTTCAGCATCGTCTAGAAGGCTGGGTGAATAACCCTCAGGGACGGCGTTCTGTGGGTCACACAGTCCTTCGGCCTGAGTGGAGGCCGTCAGAGGCTCCTCTTGCGCAAACTGCTGATGCGGGACTGTAATTCTAAGATAGTGTCCATGCCCAAACGTACGTACTGCCAGATCATGTCGTGCCCATAACCTATGATCATGATGAACCAAACATCGGTCATCCAGGTTGGCGCATTGTTGGGCAACTTCACCTAAAATGAGGATATGTGGGCGGGCCATGTGCAGCACAACTTTTTTGACCTGTCTGGAAACTGTTGGCGTGCGTGGGTATGATCCGATTTCCGTGAAATGATGAATCTCAACATCTAACAACACTAGCTTGTCGCTTGATCCATCTGGGATATCATTGACCATTTGTACAATAATTGATGCCTCATTCTCATTCTCACCAACAGGCACAACCCTGATATGGTGAAGGCTAGTGATCTGCGCCACCGGAACCCCCAGACTCCGTGCCACATCCAAGAGCAAATTATCAAAATTTCCCCATCGAACTCTGGCTTGCACTGTAGGCTGATGCAGTCTATACAGTTTCGCTGTTTGCAGGTTTTCCGGGAAAGCTCTTGTCTGGTAGTCAGCAGGAGTACTATTTGACTCCATGGGATCAGCTTCTGATCCCTCTGGTTGATGAGATGCGGCAGCGTCTGCATCATGAGCAGAAGCCATGTCTTGATCACTGTCCTGTTCATGGAGGGTGACATCACTCGGATTGGTGTTGCGTGTGAGATAAATGGCTAGGGAATCACCTTGTGACATACGGTGCACTCGATCAAAGGTTTGGGGTATCTCAGTCCAGCCATGATATATATTGCATCTACGTCTCTGGCAGGTGTGATCAGCTTCAGCGGCATTGCGGATCATGATACCACTGATGTCTGCAGGAAACGATGCTGCAATTGAATAAAGCGGACCATCATTAGGAATCAATGGTGAAACCGTGGTCAAACCTACAAATCTCCCAACTTCGTCACCTGTGACAATGATCAAATCTGCTAAGCAATGCTGAAATCTCGGGTGTCGATGTGGTTCGGGTTGGACAACATAAATGTTGTGCGGTTCTTGTGCTGGAATTCGGTCTTGCCAGCTACTCAAGATTTCCCGATGCCAACGCTGCCACTCACTGTTCAGCTCAACCACCCTAGGAAACTTGCATTGCGGATGATGTTCATGATGGATATGCCACGTACGAACATGAACAATCATATCATTGTCATCAGTGAGTTCTCCCTCCATGAGTGCCAAATCTAATAGATGTCTGAGGAATGTAGGGACTTCAATGGGTTGCGCCGGTGCACCTTCTGCATGATGACCTTCATCTGCAACTGTGTCACCATCCAAACCTTCAACTCTTCCATGCAAGTCAGTGATTCTAAAATTTGTCACATGTGGACTGTTCAAGATACAGTCCTGCAATGATATGGTAAAGGGTTTTTTGGGGGAGCTCAACACGGCCACTTCGGACGGCGGAGCACAGCGCACCCTAACCCCCGCTTTGTTTTTGATCCATAATTGCCATGGCTTGTCGTCCCAATTCACCAATGTATGATGTGCAATCTGGGTCCGCACCATCATTGTTTCCTGGTCCGTTCCAAGGTACAATGTGATTTCAGGCAAAAACTGGAGATGAATCGTTTTGGTTTTTGCTGCCGGTGCAGGCGACACGGACTGTCGATTATTGCGCAGGCAACTCGTGAGGTTCTCATGATTATGTGGGCTGGTTACAAAGCATGGTAACTGTGAGAATGCATGATCATCAACTGTTTCAAATGCGATGATGTCATCTCTTTGCTGTTGCGCAGACAGAATGGCCATGAACGGACTCGTGAAATCACATTCATCAGTGATAGAGTGGATCCAAGGCAAAACTGGATTGTACTGCACTAGATTTGCGGTTTGCCCCCAGAAACTGCTTGCTGCACAGGTCGACTCATTGAAGCAATCCAACCCATAGGCATAGGCAGCACTGGCTGGGCCGCAATTGACACTGGCCTCATGCAGTCCATTCACCAAATGAACTGATCCTGCATGGCCCCCGATCACGATCCCAATGATCGCTCGCCAGCGTCTTTTGAGCGGGGACGTTTGGCATTGCGTCCCTCGTCCTCGCTGTCGGAAATCTCCTGCGTAGTTTCCGCTGGTTTTGTTCCATCTGGTTGCAAGCCCAGCGAGCTGGCGCAGGCATTGAGAACTCCCTGCAATGTAGACCGAAGTTTCTCTTCTTCTTGGTCTACAGGTTCCTCCAGTCCTGCTTCCTCCTGCTCCTCTTTGATCGCTTGCGTCTTGGCCAGCTTCAATGTAGATGGATCCACTGCTGCCTTTGCATTGACTTCGATGGCCTGCCTGGCCATAGCGATGTCCTGTCTTGCTTTGGCAGCAGACTCCTGTAGCACTGCTTGCTGCTTTCTGTAGCTTTCCAGCGATGTTTCCCATGCTTGTAGACCTTCTTTCAAATATTCCATCCATGCTGTACGGTGCTTTTTCCTGGCTTCCATGGCCTCCGACAAAGCTTTCTGCGCTTTGCTCAACGCCCTCGTATTTGCATGAATGTTGGTCGTGATGGTCTTGGCTAGGTCTTTCTCTGTCCGCTCGATGAGCGCTGTGACATCCTCCGGTGTTGTTTCTGCATCCGGGTAGGCCTTGCGCAAGGCTGTCACGAACTCTTGGTTCTGGGCATAGATTTGTGCCGAGGTGAATGGCACTGTGCTCGCTGAACTGGCAGCTCCTCCCGAATTGCCAGTGTTGCCAGTACCAGTGTCCACCACTTCGGTCTGTTTGCCTCCAAAGGGTTGCATGGCCTTTGGGACCGTCATTGCATCTTCTTTGTCTTTGTCTTTTCCTTTCTTTGTTCCTTTCCCCTTGCGGGCTCGGGGACTCGCAGGTCGACCAGAATACTGCTCCTGTCTTTTGCGACTTGCAGATCTGTTGCCACCACGATTGTCCCAATTCGACTGCTTGTGCCAGGACTGATCTTCCCATTTGGACCAGTCTGACCACTGTGTTCGTTGTGGACCCTTCGACTTCTGCCGTGGCTCCACCTCGTGTTTGATGCCTGTCGACCAGTGTGAGTGACACTGTGGACAGGTATTCATAATCTTCTTGTTGAGCCTGCTGCATCTGGAGCATCTCCAGGGATAGGCCTCCTCTGCCGTCGCCATTGCTAATTTGATTCTTCTCAAAAAAGCCACGTCTTTGGAGTGGTGTTGCACCAGTGTGTGATGGATCCTTTGCAGATCTGTGACAGTGCTCACCACCAAACCTTTCTTGATCAAATGCCAATGATGCCTCGCTTCTGCACGGCGTCTGCGTGCTCTCCGTCTCAAGGCGTTGGTAAATGATGGAATCTTGAATGAATTGAAATGCGATCACAAAGATTGTCAAAACCAGGATAAATGAACACATCCACCTGCGAATTGTCCACGAAGAAATAGCCTGTCCAGGAAAAATCAACTGGAATCAAGCAAATCCTATCAATGTGTATCACAAAATGAAATAACCGGTGTAGGCCACCGCAGAGCCAGTCAAAATTGTTGTTGAAGTCGGTGAAGGCCACCGCAGAACCCAGCAAAATTGACAAAATTAAAAAAGGGAGATTGTAAATAAACCGGTGTCAGGCCACCGCAGAACCAGTGTAAATATTGTAAATCCCAAATTGAGATTGCAAAGTGTTGCAGCCAGAGGTCCAGTCAAAGACAGCTAAGGCAAATCAAACAAATTGCAAAAAGCACCAACCAGAAATGAGCAATCACAGTCGAGGACAAGTCAAACTCGATCAATTGCCACCTGAAGTGCCAAATCACAGGGTTTTGAGGATGACCCTGAAACCAATTGAAGGCCTCTCGCACCAAACGAAAAGCCCGTGGGCGCCTGCTCAATGGCACAGGTCCCACTTAGATCGCGGTGAGCGTCGGGGGGCTGCTCGAGCCGCAACCTTTATATCTATATATATATATATGTGTGTGTGTGTATACATTGTGTGTGTGTACATTATGTACATTATTACTGTTACTGTATATGATAAATTATCATGAATCATAATGATGTCATAATGATGTCATAATGTATGCGATCTGTCTCAGCTGTTTCTCTCAGGCCCTGTCTGTCTCCTCCTGCATGGCCTCCATGGCCTGCAACGCTGGACCCAAGAAGTTGAATGTGGTGAAAACATGGAGATTTTATATGAAATATATATGAAATATATATGAACTTATCCTATAACTGGAGAGATTAACTGGAGTCAGTAGATAATTATGGTGAATTGTGATGAATATTCTTGAATTCTATGTGGATAGGAAAACGCTTTAGGACGGCTTTGGGCAAGTACAAACCCACCAATATTTATCGGTCATATTGGAATGTAGCAAGATCCAGCACCAGCCGATCTAGTCGTCGGTCATGGATTCAACAGTGTAACAGCTCTCCCAATGCCAAGTTGCTGCATGTGCAATGGTCAAACCTGATTCACCTCACTGATCTCACTGATCTCACTGCACACAAAGTCCCATACCGTCCCTGTAGATCCAACATGATCCAACGCTGGTATTGGTAACTGATGGTAACTGATGGTAACTGGTTAGGTCGCAGCATGTCGCAGCATCAAATGTGGCAGTCACCAGTGTCATCCAGTGTCACTACGTCTCTGAGGCCCAAGCTGATTCCAGTGAGGGTGTGCGCCTAGGAGGCAGAACCAATGAACCAATTGCTTGCACAGCTCGCCCAAAAACATCCGAATACATCCGACAACCCCCCGGGAACATGCCATGACTTGCTTGGTATCTTAATGCTTCTTGGTGCCGGGCCGTTGATGCTGCAGAGATACTTCGAAACACACCCCCTTCAGGCCTGCAGTGAAGCACCGCAGAATATCGGCAAAGCTGCTACACTTCTTAGCCAATTAGCTTCACTTGGCATCCAGATTGGTGACCCCAAGTTGGCTAAGGCCAACCAATTACCAGCTTCGCTGGTGGAACTTCATCACAGATAAACTACGCACATGGAAAAAGAGCTCCTGCCTGGATGTCGGTGTGGACATCTTGGGAGTTTCCACAGGGCTACTGGAAAGAGAAGGGCTCAATCTTGGGCTCAATCTTGGTGACTGATTTTGGGACACATCCGTAGATGAAGATGGTGACAACGGTGACATCTGCGGTCCCTTGTCAGCGGCCCTGTCCATCCTGTCCCCTTTGGGTCCCTTGTCGTGTCGGGGGGAGAGCCGCGGCGACGTGGCGCCGCCAGCAGTGCCCCCTGCGCCCGCTGCGCCATCCTTGGACCCTGCTGTGCGCGCGGAGACCGGCGAAATGCGCCGGCTCCGCCGACTCGACAGGGGCGAGGAGGGGCCAAACATGATGACATTCCAATCCAATGCCAAGCTAGGACTAACTGGAGCCAGCCATAGACACATAACTCACATAACACAGGCATCAAATGATGAAAACTGCTGGAACAACAACCAAAATACAACAGGAATACAATAGTTTTCAGGGTTCTCTGCAGTGATGTCATTTCGAACTCAAGACAGTTTCAAACTCATCAGCTGCGCACTCTGTTTTTTTGCGCCGATGCGACTGTGGGCTCCACTCAAGGATTAATTGGGACTGTGGCCCACCTTGGGTTAGCGAACCAAACAACAAAATCAACAAAGCCTTCACGCGCAGTCAAAACTATAATCATGAACATTGACTAACTATAGTCATGATATGTTCAATGGTCATTTCAGGAACCTAAATTGGAGGTACCTACCATATATAAGGCCTATGTAAGGCCTATGTAAGGGAATATCCCCACAAAATATAGCCTTATATGGTACAGTACCTCCACTTTAGGATCCTGAAATTACCATTGATATGTCATGATATATCATGATTCATTGATGGATGCCCCGCTATCCAATTTGGAGCGCCCGTGCCCTGTAAGCCGATGACAGTGGTAATAAAGAAGGAGCGCGTGGCTCAAACCTCAAGCCGTGCATCAAGACTTTCAATGCCAGAGCTCTGCATCACTGCATCCGCTGGGTATCTTCCCTGGGTATCTTCCGTTCCTGGTTCGTGGCCGTTTTCTGTGGATCATGCCTTTCCCTTGCCGTTTTCAGTGTGAAGCTGTGCAACCTGAACAAACTGAGGTCCAAAGGTCCAAACCAGTGACAAATTGTTGAGGTTCTACTGGATCCTCGAGACATGGGTACACATGGGTACCAACAAGGCGCGGCAAGTCACAAGATGCCACAAGTACCATAGCGCAGCATTGGCGCAGCTGCCAGTCCTTGGTTTTCCCCTTGGGTCGAATGGCTTCCGTGTCTATTTCGACCCAGGACTTCCTTTGTCGTCCTGGTGCTCAAGTCTCGCAGCCGATTGCGCAATAATGATCATAGAATAAACTGAATAAACGCTATCAACATGGTTTCTTTAATCCTAGGGCTTTTTGATGATGAGAAAGGAACTCCAAAATGAAAACTTGCACAGCTTCTAGATTCTACATGCATGTTTCTCTCATGTATCCTTATTTATCATGATTTAGCTACCTCTCTATGACATACTGAGCAATTCAATGTGCATGCGCACCACGCAAGGAGTTATCGACAGATTGACTTGGCATATCTCCATATCTGGCATGCATTTCAATAATACTTCAATATCTGTATCATTCTTGCAGAATGGTACAGTTTGGCAGAGTTTGGGACATGACAGACATGACAGGAAGATGACAGGAAGATGACAGCAGAAGCCCTCCTTCCGGTGCAAGTGAGCCAAGCGTGAAAACCCGCAAGGGCCAGGACGCAGGGCAGCAACAGCACTCCCTGGGCGATGCGACACCGCGACGGATGGCGGGATCTCTGCAGGATCTCTGCAGCCCAGGTGCTGGAGCCAAGGCTAAAAGACTGACCACCGGGATCGACCCAGCACCCTGGAACGCAACAAACATCAGAAACATGGCATAAATGCATAAACATGACATCAACATGGCATAAACATTATATACATAAATATGACATAAACATCATAGACGTCATTTTGAAGTACAAATCTTACAGTGTGGGGCTGGAGCCTTCAGCTGGGCATACCAAATGGCAATGCCACCAAAGACATCAATGCCCAAGAAAGCCACCGATCTCGGATCAAAAAATGATTTGAACATCTTTGAATCTGAATGACGCTTATTATTTAATGTTATTCATGTTTATCATACTTATCTCTGTGTCATTCTGTGTCGGAGGCTGGGCCAATGACATCAAGAAACCGTTGAAGAAAATGATATTCCTGCGGTTGCGAAAGGTTGCGAATACTGCTGGCAACACGCAGCTATTGTGTGAGGAATCCTTTGGCCGATGCAATTGTTCACGAAGGGACAGTGATGATCGAACCTGCCAAAGGGGAAGGAGCAATGGCATGCACAAACAAAGTAAAAAGGAGAGAATCCGTGCAAATTGCCACAAATACAATATCATATTATAATTTATAATACTGTATATATATATTATATAATATGCCAGAGAGAGGGATGTATATATATAATTTACAGTACAACACACACACTAGACAAGAATGGATCATTATATGATCCGGCAGGAACTGAATCCTGAAACATGCAGATTAAGTACGAAACACTGAAATTAACAATGCATCCTACGAATAATAGAAGTACTTCAGAATGGTCATAGGGTTCAGAATCGACGTCAAAAAGAATGAATAAACCAGTAATAATACCATCGGCGAAGAATAACGTCGGCGAAACTTAGATGAATACCATCGGCGACGATGTTGTCGGCGATCATGTAAACAAAATAATACATAGGTGCTTTCTACGTCCTTGCTCTGAGGAAGGTTCTGATGCAACTGAATCAATAGTAAATGACCAAAAGTAATTCCAGATTGCGACAACAGTGCAGCAAATTGTATAAGATTGTGGTTGGGGTTCTTAGCTTGGCCCCTTGCTATGTCCGAAAAAAGCAGGTACGTGACAAAGGCGTCCCTTCGTCATATCACAGCAAATGATGAAGCGTCTTCGTTGAGTGGTGACTTCATCATTGCTCACCACTCCCCTGCAAATTAGTGAAAAACCAATCAGAAGTTTTACATCTGTTCAGATGGTACACACACACACCTCGCATGTAGCGAGGTTGGTTTTTTGGAAGAACTTCGCTGGCGGAATCGGCAATACACCAGTGAAAATGAACCTGTAAGAACCTAATGCACAAACGGGCGATCACTTCAATCAGAAGAGGAATTCGGAGCTTGTAGAAGGACTTCCATAGCATCGTGGAAGCTCATGCGTTCAACCATCGCCCAAGTCTGATCGAATTCCCCAGATGCCGTAGCAGCCTTCAAGGTATCAGATAGATCTTTGGCTAATTCATGGATCCGGGTGGTCAGGCTCGGTTCATCTCCAGGAGATGTCGTCTCAATGGGCACATTGTGAAAAGGATGGTGTCCGTGTACAAGGGGAATCTCAAAATGATGTCGCCAATAGTCCGCTGTGCGCAGGGACCACTCCCAGTTGCCCGAAAGACCATAAAAATAGTGTTCAGGGTCACGACATCGGGAATGCCCTAACAAGGGGATTTCTTCAATGAATAGCTCCCTGGTGTTGTTGGAGTGGGTAATGACCTTGAATTGGATCTGGTGTACCACACGAGAAGAGAATTGAGCACGATGGAGGTAGTTGTGTGTAGAACTTGACTCCGTCGGAAAAGGAACGCCAGGAGGTGCTGGTCCTGAATATGTATCAGAATGGGCCATAGTACCCGTGTCAGGAGCCGTACTGTCATTGACCAAAGGTGCCGACGTAGGGCTGGTAGTAGTGTCGGGAGGGCCTGAGTGACATAGTGCAGAAGTCTGGGCGTCTGATACTTGAACTGGGTTGGTAGGAGCGAGTCCACGGGTAGGATTCGAAGGCCAAGACAAGCCCGCCACGGTCGCGTCTCGTTTGTGTTCCATGGGTGAAACAGTTAGAAATGCGAGAAATAGTGCAACAGCGGCTGAGGCATCAAGAATTGCAAATATAAGCCAATCACGAAAAAGATAACATTCACAAAGAAAAAATAAAAGTGAAGTCCAGTCTCCAATCAAGCGGTTCAATTACGGCGGAGAAGCCACAGCACAAAGTCAAATAAAGTAGGAATCAAAGAATCCTGTGTGTTGGTGAGGAGTCAAGGGAGAGTGGAAAACCCTGCAGTATGGTCTTTTTTGGCCGGCAAGCGTATCAGGGCAGGATCACACCGGAGCTAATTTTGTAGCATTGCAGACGTAGTACAAAAGGCTGTGTGGTACCCGGAATGAGCAAAGAGGATTCGCGGGAATTGTACTGCCGAAGTCGCCATTCAGGTCGGTATTCCTCCAAAAGCTGCAAGACCGTCATATCATTGGAGACTTGGAATGTATCACCGTCCAGGTCGCAAAAGCGAAACTCCAAATTCGAGGGATCAATTTGGATGTCCCATTGGGACCTCAATCTTTTGGAAATACAGAAGCGTAGTTCGGCAATTGGGATGAGGCCGGCTTCAACTGGTTCCATCTGACGTGACCAGGTAAATAGAGCCTCCAGTTCGTAGCCACTAACATTTCTGAAATTGGAGCTGGCCATAGCCATGTAGTGTTCACGGTCAGGCTCGCTACGATGAGTCAATGCCTGTAGAGGAGAGAAGTCAACCAGGATAAGAACAGGTCGGTTTGGAGGAGGGTTTGCATCACCAGGAATGCCTCGATGTCCAGCAAACCATCCAATGGTTCGTGTACCCAGCGGTGTCTCAATCGTTGATGTAGCGCGATATGGATTGGGTCGAGAAGAACGAGCCATGGCATCTAATGTCGAGTGTCGAAGATAAAGCGGAAAGCCCAAGCTGCAGAATA